ACCACACCTGGCTGATTTAAAAATTTTGTAGAGACAAGGTCTCACTATGTTGCCCAGGCTGGTCTCAAACTCCTGGGCTCCAGCCATCCTCCCTCTTCAGCCTCCCAAAGGGCTGGGATTACAGGTGTGGGCCACCAGGCCTGTAATGTTATGTTGCATTACATTAAATAATGCATGGATGGAGCAGTGTGGAAAAGAACTTGACAATGACTACATCTGTGACCTCCAGCCCTCTGGAGAAGTGCACTTTACATAGGACCACAGATGTCTTTGAGAAGTATTTGGATTGATAATCAGAAAGAAGCACTCTACCAAAAGATGAAGTAGATATTTTGTACAGGCTAGGAGTTGCAATAGGCCTTTTCTACAGCCTTGCGAGGTCAGTATATATACGCCCAAGCAAGGACTGTCCTTCTCTGACTACAGAATTGGAGCCTTTGAGAACCAAGGATTTGTGGACCAATACTCTAGGGTTCTCCCCAGTGGGCTATTTCATCCCATAAGAAATAGTTTATCTGGGACCTGAAACTAGAACATCAGGGAAACCCTTTGAGCAGTGTTTTCTATAGCACCTCATGTCTCATTTCCTCACTGCCTTTAAGTCTTAACTAATACATCACCTCCATGAGGGCACTTGTAGAAAACGCAGATTCCTGGGCACCACTGCAGTCCCACTGTATTAGAATATCTGGAGGTGGGGTCCCGGAGTCTGCATTTTTAAACTTTTAGGTTCGGGGTACATGTGCAGGGTTGTTATATGGTAAATTGTATGTCATGGGGGTTTGGTTTACAGATTATTTTGTCACCTAGGTAATAAGCGTAGGGCCTGATAGGTAGTTTCCCAAAGGAATCTGCATTTTAATGCAGTCCTGCGAGTCATTTTCCCACTGAAATTTTAGAGATACCACCTATTAGACCAATAAATAGTACGATCTAGTATGTAAGTTTCAGCACTCAGATTCTATTCATAGATTGGATTTTAAAACAGAATAAATAACTCATTATCTTGAGATACAGAAAACAAATTGTTTGTTGAAACCCAGTGAGTATTTTTGTATTCGTAATTATCTGTGACCTTTACTATCACACAAAGATTTTGATTTAAGAATATACATATGTACATCATCATTACTCTATAAATTGGTAAAATTGACTGTATATTCCAGATAACCAATTGCATGCACTTAGAAAAATGACAGATTTTTCTGCATCAAGTTGTATCATAAAATTAGGTCTAGTTTTCAGATTAAACTTTTTCTTGAAACATCACCATTGATAACTTTCTGCCTGAGCCTAGAAAAATAATGCTTTTGGTAAGGCTGGGATTCTCTTATCCTGAAGGTTCATTTGGAGGTGTGAGAGCAGCATTCTCAGCATCTGAGCAGCCTGGTATTTATAGTCTATGGGCCAGTGAGTCTCAGCTGGTGGGGATGGGTTGGGAGGAAAGGAAGGGAGAGGTACAGTTTTTCAAATAGGGATATGGGTTAAAAGAAGGTTGAGAAAACTGATGGAGACCTATATATTTTAAGGGCAAAAAATAGAAATTGATGTGTAACACTACAGCTGAGTTTTAAATATAGAACATAAAGGGATGAATTTAGGCAGTGCTAAAAGTATCTTCGTGGGAGATTGTCAGATGTTCAAAATAATCACAATTTTTATTCCCAAACCAAGTAACTTTAAAATCTGTTGTTTTCCAAGAGCTTAGTATATACATACTCTTTAATGTCATCTAAACTTGTTCCTTATCTACAAAACAGATTTTTATTCCTTCTTGCCTCATTCCCTGAATTAGTAGCAGTAAATGCTCTTCTTATCAAGAAAACTGAATGTGTTGGATTTCGTCTTATGTTTGTAAGCCTATCTATCTGAAGATATTAATAGGATCTGCTGTAAAGGACTGTTGGTAGATAAGATACCATCTGTGCTGCTTTCTCTTCTCCTCATTATCACATTTTTCTTTTCAACTGGGACAAACCCTTCAGCATACAAACATGTTCTTATTTCTCCCATCTTAAAGCAAAAGAAATCCTCTCTTGACGGTTCTAGCTATGCCCCAGTTTTCTGCTTCCCTTTCATAAAACTTCAAAGAGGAAACTTTTCCAGTTCCTCTCTTGCCACTCTTGATCAAACTAGGTCCCAGGCTTTTGCCCACACCACTGAACTGCTTGTGTCAAGATCACCAGTGACTTCCACATTGTCAAACAAAAGGTCCCTTCTCAGTCATCTTACTATATCAAGTAGCATTTAACAGGCTGATCATGTCCTCCCATCTTAACTAGGTCTCAAAGACACAACATACTCCTGGTTTTCATTTTTCTTCGCTGGGAGTTTATTCTTGGTCTCCTTGCTGATTCCTCATCACCACTCCCCACCTTTTTTTCTTCTTTTTTCTTTTTAAAATTTTTTTATTTTAGAGATAGGATCTCTGTGTTGCCCAGGCTGGAGTGCAGTGGCTACTCACAGGCACGATCATAGCTCACTGTAACCTCGAACTCCTGGGCTCAAGTGATCCTTTCGCCTCAGCCTCCAGAGTAGCTGGTGCTACCAGGCCTGGCTTGTCCCCCCTCTTTTAACATTAGCATCCCCCAGGGCTCTCCTTTGCTTAGAGCTCTTCTTTTTCTAGTCTATACGCAGTTCCTTTGTGATTTTATCCAGTCTGCTAGCTTTAATATCTTTATGAAAGTGACTCCCAATTTACTATCTTTAGCCTATTCTCCCAAACTCCAGACTAACATCTTCAACTGCCTCCTTGACATCTCTTAAGATGTCTAATATATTTATTGAACTTAGTGTGTCCAAGCCTGCTTCAATCGTATGTTCCCCACCTCAGTTAATGGTAAATTTATCCTTCCAGTTGCTCTGGCAAAAACCTTGAAGTCATCTTTAACAATTCTGTTTTTCTTACACCTCACAGTCTATCAGCATATTGGCTGTCTTTCAAACATATCTAGGCCCTGACCTCTTCTTAGCACCTTCACTGCTATCACCCTGGTCCAAGCCATTTTCTGTTGGGTAAGCCTCCCTATTCCCACTATTTTATTCTCAACAGGGCAGCCAGAGTGCTCCTGTTAAAATGTAAATCAGATCTTGTCACTGGTTACTCTGCCACTAAGAAGTCAAAGAAGTCATTACAAGGGCTTTTAAAGCCTTAAGTGAGCTCTGTCAAACCTCTGATGGCATCTCCTTCTATTCTGCCCACATTTATTCTTCTCCAGATACAAGCAGCGTCACTCTTCCTCACATATACCAAGTACGCTCCTCCTGCCTCTGGGCTTTTCACTGGCTGTTCCCTGTGACTTGACATAGTCTTCTCCCAGATTTATGCATGTCTTGTCCCCTCACCTCTTCCAAGTCTATTAATGTCATCTCTATGAGGCAGGCTTCTGACCATCCCATTTAAATTTCACCTCCCCTGGACTCCACATTCCCAGTCACCATATCCTTTTTTGTTCATAAGTGAAAACATTCTAATGTATAATATACTTATTTTATTATGCTTACTACTTTTTACTGTCTGCATCTCCTCACTAGATTATAAACCCCATGATGACATGTACTTTTGCCTGTTTTGTTTATTGCCATATTCCTAATATCAGAATTGTACTTGGAAGAATAAATATTTGTTGAATGCTGAATAGTCAGATGGGCCCTTATCAAATGCTTATAACCTAAGGTCACTCAGAACTAATTTAAGTGAGGATAAACAGCAAAGGAAGTCATATAGTAAAGAGTCAAATTATGAGGGCTTCAGGATAAGCAACCAACCTCTTAAAAGATACCTAAAAGCCAGTAAGCTTTGACAGTGCGTCCCTCTTCACTTTAGTTAGCATTTACTAAGCACCTACTCTGTGAAAGACATGTGCTTTACACATATGACCTGTAAACCTCATAATAGACTCAAACAATAGATCTGTTAACCTCCTTGTATTGATGAGAAACAGATTAAATAACTTCTGCAAAGTCACTCATGTAATAAGTAGTGGAACCAGAAGGTGAACAGACATAATTCCAAAGCACCTGCTTGTTTCTATCACATTGATTCTTCCTTTTCTTGATGAGTTACTGAGGTAGAGAAATTAGCTTTTACGTGGGCTATAGTTTTTCTTGCCTCCAGTAAGAATCAAGAGTCCCAAAATGTTAGAATGGCCATAAACTACTTTTTTGGAATTGTACTCTATATTGAAGCCGTCCGTCCCTCTGGACACCATGTGCACCTATCAGCAAGAAGGCAGGCTTAACTATGGACTGTACCAGACTGATCTGCGATGACCTAAGAGGATTAAAATAAGTGAAAAAGCAAATCACCAGGTTATAGCTCAAAAGAAGTGACATTTCAAGAGAAAATTCAGAATCAAGTTTAATAAAAACATTATTTTCCTATAGCTATTAAATTGATTACCTAGAATATACTCGATAATTCATGCTTGGACTGCCACATGGCTAAGTCGTCTCACTTCTCCAGGCCTCATCTACCTTAATTTTTACATCATGGGATTGGCCGTCTAAGGATTCATCAATTTTTACATCCTGTAGTTCACGTTGAATGACAGTACATTTGCATCATTCTTTAGTTACAACCTTAAACTCATATTTTCACGCCGAGCCTAGAAAGAATTGCTAAAGGTCAGGCTACCTCATTCCAGCAGATCTCAGCAAAAGCTGCCTGTCAGGGAACGTGGTATCTCAGAATTTCTTTTATGGAATACAAATGCCTTAGCACTCTGGAACTTCATCCAGGTGACACCTAAGGTCATTTTAAATGACTAATTTTCATCCCAAAGGCCTCCCACTCACTACAATCAGCAGATTTGACACAGAGGCAAATATGGAACTTCTTTTATCCTTTTATAACTAGATACAGGAAAAAGTGCCTCCAAAGAAAGACCACAATAAAATGCAAAATATTTCTATATGGCATATATGAGCTAAATGAGAATCACTAATGATTTCAAAAATACTGCTCTCTAAAATAATTACATGCAAAAATAATACACTTGTGGGCTATGTAAGGCATTTTTCTTTATTATTTTTCAGTTTATCTTAGTAATGCCAGAAAAATAACAGCCGTTATTTTCACTTTAAATGCAAACCAAATACTGCTGCACACAGAGTACAAAGATTACCTATGAACATGGTTAGGTACAAAGGCCATATTAGATGTATAGACCACACTTTGTTCTTACATCAAAGTAAGACCGACAGAGCAATTTTTTTGACAATTATTTTAGCAAATAACCGTGCTACTAAACAAAGGCAAATACACATATATACACAAACACGTCTCAACTAAAATTATACATGTCACTTTGACAACCAAATTCTCTGGTGGTTCCACCAGATATTTGCACCCCAAAGTTCCCTGCCCAAATCCCGCCCCCAAATGCTGACTTGATCTGAAGAAAAAAATTAGAGATGTTCTTAATTAAAGGCACATTTGGCAGCTACTGAAAGTGGCATGCATCTGGCACAGGTGCGCTCTCCCTAAGCCACACCACATGTACCTTCCATCTGTTATGCATCTTGTTTCTTTGAGTGGTAGTCCAATGTGACCCACCGTTAGCTAACTTGCTTTATAATTCTGCAGCAATTGGCTACTTAATGCACTATTTTCATTAAAGGCAAAAGGGAAATTTGCTCACAGTCGACAGAAAATGCACTTTACGGTGTCAAAAATGGAAAATAAGGCATGGAATTTACTAAACAAGTTACAAGTGCTTTTGTTGTTTAGATTTATATAGACTTCATGCTTAAGTAGAGCTCAAAATATTTCATTGGCTCATGTATAAGGGATTATGAAATAATTTTAACAGTAATGAGATGTTTCAAAGAAGAAAAATATTGAATAAAGTCATCATGTTCCCTTATAAATAACTTTACTGCATAATTCTTTCAGCCAAATCAGTATTAACCTTGTGATGTTTATTTACTGGTAAAGATTAATGTGCAATACAACAGGACCTATACTTGTGTAGTCACACAACATATGTTAAAAGAATAAGTAAACCTGTTCACAGCAGCAGAATACCAAGAAATAAATGGTTAAACTGTTTCTTTCTAAATCTGAAGGAACAAAAAGGTTTTCCTCAATATGTACAACATAATAAATTGGGACACTCCTCCTATTTTGCTGAGCCACTTAAAAATCTGAATCTAAGCTGTCATTAGAAGACAAACAATGAAATACAAGATTAAAGTAAGCTAAACTTGAGAATTAAGATCATGACCATAAATACCAACTAATTTTTGGTTTACATAAGGTAATTTTTGATTTATGGAGGGAAAAAAACCTTTAAGAATTTAGAATCAATATAGCCTCCAGCTGACATAGTAATTGTTCTTTGGGCTGTTGTTGACTGTAGTATTAGTGTGGCATGCTCTTTGTCAAATTCAGATCCATTAAAGCATCCTTGAGTTGTTAAGAGAATAGTAACCTACTAAACATAATTTGATGCCCAACAACCTTTTATTAAGCGAACTCTCAGTGTATGCTTCCTGATAATGTGTAGTCTTAAAATACATCAGCCTTGAAATATTTTCATTTCTAAGAGAAATGTTCCACATTTTGGAATATGGTTAACAAAAAGTCATGCTGCATTTACCCCCTTTGTAATGTCCAGGATTCAAAAGCAGAATTTTGTAATGATGCATTTATCTCCTCTGCCATTTCTGGTCCCTGATTAAATATATTTTCATTACTACAAGGATAAATTTGTCAACTAGTTAATGTTTCATATTGAGAGGAAGGCAAGGATACCGTTTTCTCATCTCCACCTAAGGGCATTCAATTGGAATTTTTCTAATCAGTTACCACTGCAGAAAATATTTTTACCCAAATGTCACGGTTCAGAATAAAATATCCTCCATCCACAATACATATAAAACTGTTGCACAGTGAAGTGGTCTCCTAGAACCATGGGGTAGAAGAATAGTTCCCTTTGGGAGAAATAAGATTAGAACTTCAAATTTGAGTTTTTCCTCTTTATAGGCTAGATAGATTGAAAAGGGGTTACCACCTTATTGAAGGCTAACACATTAGCCGAAGACATACTGAATGGGATCCAATGTGACTTTTACCAGGTTCTCATTTGGAATGGGCCTGGGGCAATTAAAAAGAGAAGTAATCCATGAGACATAAAAAGAGAAATCCTAGGGACAATGAGGCTGGCCAGTAAAAAGTCCTGGGAGACTCTGGACTATGTATCATTATTAGTTGTAGTGGCACTAGTAAGTTGGCTTACATAAATACTGTTGAGTGGATGGTCTTAGGGACAGTTTGCATCCAAGAGGAGATTTGAAATTAAATTTTTAGGACACTTTTCAAAGAAGAAATATTTTATAAAGAGAAAAATGGCTACCATCATAGGAATGGTACAGATATTGAACAAAAAGGATTCAACTCTAACAAATAAATAAGAAAATAGGATAGACTGCTTAATGACGGTGCAGTTAACATACCTTCTGGTCTTAAAGGACTACATACTGTACTATCGTGATGTACATTTTACGCTCTAATAAATATCATAGGAAATTATTAAAGTACTAGGTTCCCACCATGTTGCAGCACTTCTACAAATGTCTCTTAATAGCGTGGTTAACAGAATTGCTGAAATGTTGCTTCATTATTCAGAGGATACATGCAGATGCTGATGAACCAGGTAACTCTCTAAGGATGGAATACTGCACATTTCACAGACATTATAGTGGAGATTAATAAAATGTTTTCTCTTCAACAAGGTGCATGCATTTCAGTCACAGTATTTGTTAGACTCAGAAGAACAGTACATATGCTTTATGAATAATCCATATTATGATAGTAATGATGCAGGTAGATGTTCTATCATGAATAGTTTTGATAAAGCAGAAAACCTCAAGCAAGGTAGAATGTTCAATATAAACCTTAACAAACTGTATACATGTTGCTTAGGAACTTAAAACTTACAAAGTTCTGCTTAAAAGATACCCATCCTATTCTAACCAAGTATCTTCCTATATGCCAAGCTGTGACTTTAGATCATTCTTTAAGATTAATACATATATCCAGAACTAGAAACCAAGGCGTACCACAAAACGTGCTTTTATGTTTAGTGTTTTTGTGTGTTTTTCAACTAAAAGAAATAAGAATCAACCATTTTCTTCATATAATAATTTAATATATGCCAGCCAAACAAAGTATTTGTATCTTTATTCAATTAAATTAAAACAGACCTGCCAGGTATATTATATAACATTCACTATATACATATGATTTAGGCAATGCAAGATAATTCTAGATATGCTGATTACTCAACTATGAGTAAAACATGAGCGGTGTCAGTGATGCCCAGCAAGTGCTCCTTTTCACATTGGGTGTCTGCATTTCCATGGTATGGTTAGAGGGATAGCTACGAGCCATGACATGGACTACCAGTAAACTTTTGTGGGAGAAGGAGGGAAAATGACAATCTAGCATAGATTAACAGTCTCCTAAATGCAAATAGACTACTTGACAGTTATGTTTTTTTAAAAAGTTCTTCTGTCATGTTAATGACACAAAACTTCTTTTTTGAAGGCAACACCACCACATTTTGTTTGGGTGTGTGGGGACAGGTGGGGAATGCTCTTAAAATTGGTATAATTATTCCTAAAAAAACAACAACAACAAAAAAGTACCTCTTTGGTGAAGCCTCGGTACCCATTCAGTTCACCGTAATAATCTGTAAACAGGACTGTAGTACAGTGCTGGGCCTTGATTTCAACAAGGTCAGGTACCACAGCCTTTCCTCACAGTCCTTTGAGTGATTTTTAAGAAAATATTCTGAAGTAGAAGAGTAAAGCAAAGGAAAACAAAGGAAGATATTAAGATCCCTGTTTACTTTTTTTTTTTTTAAAAGTGCATAATTTGAATTACAAAAACTGTCATCATGTGGGCCTGCTGGACACTAGACTGTGTTTTCCATCCCTTTAATGATCACTTCACAAAAGATCACTTCACAAACACTTCCCAAAAAGAGGACTCCTGCCTATTGGCCAGAAAAAGTCCCTTTATGATTTTCAGGTGCAATCAGTTGTCCAATTCCTCTAGGTCAGTCTTTCCATATTCTAAACTGGAATACCATTTCCATTTTATAATTACATCTAGGTTAAAATTCATTGTCTTATACTGCATCTTGAAGAAGAGTCGTTAGTGTTTGGAGTTCTCATTTTAACTCCTCAGTGCTGGCACGTTCAGTGCATCCATTGCCAGCAATGGATTTGGGGCCAGGAAAATATACATCCCAGTACAGAGGAACTCAAGAAGAATGGGCATTCTCCAACAGTGGTGGTCCATCTCTGTGCATGGATGGGTGTGTGTGCTCCCTTTTGTAAGTTTTTGGAGGGAGTTTAGGGATATGTTGAGAAGTGCTTTGTCGTGGAGGAACAGGCGGCCCAGCAATGGAATGAAGGTCCACTTCTTGTGTCAATGGTGGTGATGGCAGATGCCTTCTTGTGCCGTGAGGAGAAGGTGTTTGAGGAGGAGGTGGTGTAAAGGGGGATGGGCTGTTTGGGAAGAAGGCATTGCCATGGTCACTTTTTTTGCCCAAAGGGGGAGGTTGGAGATGTAGTGGTGAGCTTGAGAAAACATCAGGTGTCCTCACAGGTTCTCGTGGTGGTAATAAGGGAGGGCTTTCAGGAGGGTCTGAGATAGAGGTCCGGTCTGATATTGAATATCGTGGTGAATAGGCTTTTGATGTGGGTTGCCTAGGAGGAATGGCTGGGGGGCTGTCCAAATGCTTAGACATAATCTAACAAATGAAAAGAAGAATAAAATACACATTTATTAATAAATTTATGAAGTATCATGACTATAAGAATTAAGTTGGGGTTTTCAAACATGCTATTGGCAGGATGCTAAGTGTGGAACAGGGAGTTTTGCCGTATGTTTCCTTTGTAATTAAAAAAAAATTTTTTTGAGACAAGGCCTTGCTCTATGGCCCAGACTGGAGTGCAGTAGTGCAATCATGGGTCACTGTAGCCTCAACTTCCTGGGCTCAAGTGATCCCCTGACCTCAGCATCCCAAGCAGCAAGGACCACCATGGCTGGCTAATTTTTTCATTTTTTGTAGTCAAGGTCTTGCTCTGTTGCCAAGGCTGGCATGTGTTTTAAATGGGAGGTTCTGCCAATTCATAGAAAAAAAAGTTTGCCAAAGTGTTTACTTAAATTTCTTGCCTCAAAATTTTGTTGTTTGCTACTGCTTACTGACTTAGCTTATCAATCAAAGATCATTTCTAATTTAGCATACATTGCCTATTTTATAATTTTAAATTAACTATATTAACATTCATGAAGTTCTACAAAGAGTGTCTTGTCTTGACTTACCCTGGTGCTCTGCACTCTGGACAGCTTAAGAACTAATGCATTAAGTTAACAGCTGGCCCACCCGCCAAAAAAATAAGTAGAAATAGCTATTTTGAGCCTTTAGGGTCTCTTCCAAACCCAGAATTTTCATGAAAACTCCATTTAAAAGTATGTCAGATTTACTATTAAGGGCTCAGATAAGTAAATTTTAGCATATGTCAAGATACAGTTTGACTTATAATGTGTCTTCATACAAAGCTTCAGGACTTTATGTTTTTAAAGAACTGCTTGAAACCAAATTTCTCTTACTTTATAGATTAAAACTTATTTTGTTTTTTTTTTCTGAAAATAACCATAGCCTTAGGTTTACAAGGGTCTTGAATGCACACCAAAAAACTACCTTCAGAAGAAAAGAAACATTACTGCATGCTAAATCTATATGTAACCCTTATTTAAACTATTAAGCCTATATACTCTGAAATGTTAACTTATTCCAGTGAGAACTAAACTAGACATAAGCAGTTTATTATAATGTAACTGTAATGATTCCAATTTCTACATAACAAGATTTCTTACTTTACCTTAGATGGTGAAGATTCTGCTGGGGCAGATTCTGGTCGTCTTCGTGGAGGAACAGGAGGAGGGACAGGCACTTCATCAGTGCCTTTGGTTAAACTTATAGATGATACAGAAGCAGATCCTGTAGGATGTTAAATTTTTAAGAAAAAATTCACAGGAATTTTATTTCATTTATTTATCTTGAAAAGTCTTAGCTGGAAATTGCTTATGATTAAAAGTAATGTGTAGAAATACCAAAAGCAGTTCAGTAAACCAATACCCAATAGTATTTCATTAAAGCAAACTGCCATAAAAGCATGCAGACATTTTTTAGCAGGATATTTAGAAAAAAGCTGCCTAAGGTATTCTGTTATTTTGCCTAAACAAAATAACATTCCTGTGGTTACTCTATTATTGAAATTTTTAATTGGGTCTGATTCTTAGATGTCTGGGAGACAGTGAGCTACTGAAAATCTTTGGAATGGTAATTTTTAGACTCTATACTGGGTTCACTTTTTTCTTTGATTTTATTAGAATTTATAGAACTTCCCCACCTTACTGGATAGTCCCTGGGAATAGAGTTTGTGCTCTTAACCACTCTCTCCAATGTCTCTCCCTAGCATTTCTCTCAAAGGATGCAAGGGAAAGAATCATAGTGTCTAGGTGAGGGGCCTCTCCTTATTTTGTTTAGTTATAGGCTCTCCTTTGCCTGTAAGCAAAAAGAGGCTCATTATACTGTAAATCCAAATACTTTTAACGGTGATGGCACTATTCAAGACAATGGAGGCAGTCCTGACAATGAAAGCAGAAATTACACTAAAATCTAGTGAATCTGATTTAAGAATAAGTTGGTGAAATGGCACAAAAAGGTAAGTAAAGCTACTAATTGGAACCTCTCTTACAGACATTTATGGTTAACAAGAACATAAGGTAGGCATATAAATTTACACTTCGGAAAACAACACTTAGGTTAGTTGTTAGTTTATACCCACTATAAAAAAAGATGTGAAAAAAATAAACCATCATTCAAAATTATACTTGGCAGTTTTTTTCCCTTTAAGCATTAAGCTTTTTATTTTGTCATATGTTGTAACAATATAGAACTTAAAGAGTACTTTGTGTACTGATATTATTCAAATGATCAACATTTTGATCACCTACCTTTTTTCTTAAGAATATACAGTTAATTCAGCTTGTAACTAGTATTTTCCATTGTATACATTTTGAAATTACTTGTATGAAAGGATAGCAAAAAAAATATTAATTAGCTTAAAATAATTAAAATAGTGGAATTTAGTGAATTGTTAGTTTACCTTAAAATTAAAATGGAACTTTATCAGTATTTAGGCTATACTTTGAATAATTACAATTATAAGAAAGTTCTTCTAAAGTCAAAAACTTGTTTATAATCTGTCCGGCCATCAGGCTAAGTATATTTTGTGATTTAGAAACTGCATAGCTGCCAGCATTCCCATACGCGCATGCATGCTCTTGCTTTTTTTTTTTTTTTTTTCTCCCAGAGTTGAGCATTAAAATATATTTAGAACTCTATAGTTGGAAAAAAGAAATGGTTAAATGTGGAAGCCACTTATTTAATATGTTCTTTTAAGAGAGAAACAAGGTTTTATAAAAAGCATGAAAAATATATAAATTTAAGCAAATCACTTATGATCAAAAGACAGCACAAGTGAAGGCCTCACTTCTAGGACGTTGCAAGCAAGGTACCAATGCTGCCAGGCCCAAGAAGAGTTTAGCAGGAAAGGGTACACTCGGTTTGATTTTTAAAGCCAAAGCAAGAATTATGAGTCTTAAACCAAATATACTAACTTGGGCCATGGGGCAGTGTAACTTGGATAAAGACGGTATCATTGCCTGTGAAAGGAAACAAGAAAAAGTAGATTTTTTTTCTTTCATTGGTATGTTCAACTCATCTGCAAAAATTTGTATTATGATGAAAATGTTGTCATTCTAGTTTGAAAGAATGCTGTAACAGTTTATAGTAAAACCTCATTACTACTTACTTTTAAGAAGAAAAAACTGCTATCATATTGGGAATTTAAAAGATTCCTTTTAGCTTTACTTGATTTCATAATTATTAAATGAAAAACATTCATGAAAAAAAATCCTATATTACTGAAAGACTTTTTCAAATGTAGAAACCCAATTCAAGCAAAAAGTTCAGCTGGATGTATATAAATATGCCATTTACTAAAGCTTATTTTGAAAAGTCAAACTTGTGAAATGAGTAATAAATTTATTTTATATAAGTTGAAAAATAAAGTTACTAATTATATGTCTTTCAAAAATGTTCTTGGGGTGTACAACAGTCTCATCACAAAATAACTAGCACTTTGGATATAAAACAAGCTTGAAAGTGATATAGGGTTTTTCCTTTTATAGTCATAAACATTTTTTTTTAAGTCATTAAACATTTGGTGCCTAGACTCATTTTACATAGGAAATTCTGATAAATTTAAATTTACAAAGTCTAATTTCAACAATATTATTTTAAGAAAAAAATCGAAAATCAAAAGCGAAAGCCCCAAGAGCATCGAAGTAGGAAAATTGAGACAAAAGGCTAGATGATTTATAGTGATTCTAAATTAATATAATTGTTTCTGTTACACTGTCTCATATTAACAACATATGGAACAGATAACGTTATAACATCCAAGAGACTAAAATAATACTAGACTGTGCTGATTTTTTAAAACTTCAGATTTCTTTTTTCTTTTTTTGCACAATAGGCAATCCCTCACATAATTTGGAACATTAAGTTTATTCAAGCATATTTGGTCAGGAGGAGGATAATCTCACATTCCAGATTTAGCTGGCATGACTTCTGTTAACTTGTTTATATAGATACGGTAGTCTGATTTTCTAGGCAGCCCTAATTTCAAATAATCTATTCCATTATTTAATTTCCATATATACTGATATTTATTTGGAACCTGTGATTCCTAAGTGTAGCAATCCAGCTAATTCTAATACTACCTTTCAGAAGATTAAAATTAATTTTTAGACTCTGAAATTACATGAAGCTGTTGCTCTGCCAATGATTTTCTTCCCTGTTAGCCACCTATAATTGAAGACTGCCTGGTTGTAAAAGGGAGTCAGAGATCTGATGTAACAGAGATTAAAGGAGTATCTAGCTCTAGCGTTTACCCACTTATGTATGTCCCACTTTTCTTGGAAAAGAAATAAATCTCCTGGAGATATGCCTCAAGAACATGATAGTACACTTAATACAATACAGGAATAGGAGTAAAATCAAAACACAAAGCTCATGATTGTTGAAACTGTAGTCTTTCTGAAAAAATAATTATACATATGCATGCACACTTGTGTACACAGATGTAAACTTGGCTTTGAGTATATATATATATAGCACAGGACTAAGTCATGCATTTGGTAAATTTAGGGCACTAGTTGTTTGGTCTTATTGCCTGGAAAATACTATAAAAATTCTTTTAGAATTTTACATGCTCTAATCAAGAAATATATGCTAGAAATTCTTGTCAGATACTGAGCAAATTTACTGATAATGACTTAGGAGTGAAATCTAATTAATTTAAAAAACGCTATTAATTTATTAAGCATAATCCCAGATGACAAATGGTCCTCAATCTTAGCTGTACGTTAGAATCCTATGGGAAGTTTTTAAAAAATACTGATACCAAGTACCAATGCCAGTCTAGTGTGGGCTGGGCCTTCCTTTTTTATGAGACAGAGTCTCGCTCTGTCGCCCAGGCTGGAATACAGTGGCCGGATCTCAGCTCACTGCAAGCTCCGCCTCCTGGGTTTACGCCATTCTCCTGCCTCAGCCTCCCGAGTAGCTGGGACTACAGGCGCCCGCCATCACGCCCGGCTAGTTTTTTGTATTTTTTAGTAGAGATGGGGTTTCACCGTGTTAGCCAGGATGGTCTCGATCTCCTGACCTCATGATTTGCCCGTCTCGGCCTCCCAAAGTGCTGGGATTACAGGCTTGAGCCACCGCGCCCGACCCATATTTTTTTTAAGCTCCTCAACAGATTATATTATACAGTCAGGGTTGAAACCACTCTTAAAGATACTCCCCAGTTTATAAAGGAGTCATTCTTGATAGAAACAAGCATTTTCCTATAGGAAAAAAAAAAAAGGTATGATAGATAACTTCTTAAACTCACAAAAGCCTGGTAAATGCAAATATATTTGGGATTAGAAACTCATCACCTTATACCATTCTTCCAGGAGGAAAAGCCTTGTGTATCAGCTTGACATACTTGTAATACATTCTTTTTGTTGTTAAAGAGTCCCCCAAGGGGTAGAGATAGAGAAGTCAGACTTCTGACTCCCTTTTATGACCAGGCAATCTTCAAACAGGAAGGTAACAAGAGCATTTCATCATTTTCTCCTCTCTATTACAGCAGCAGAAACAAGTAGTGAGCCAGTGGTCTTTTCTCTTTTCCCAGCAACTGTCATCATTACCTCAAAGGTGGACCTGGCCAGGGCAAGGTGTGGAATAGGGCTTTGAATGTATATGTGGCAGCACTAAGTATGTGGCCACTTCTCTGCCGTGTCTTTACCACAACGCTTTCCATGACCACTCTTGCCCATTCTGAGGTCATCTTTCTATAAGCCTCTCCAGTATTTATGTCTTCACCACATTTTTAGCATTTAACTGTGAATCTCTTTGTACTATGATTATTTTTAATCTCTCAGTAAGACTGCAAGCTTTCCCATGAAGACGTGTAAGTGTTTAGCAAGGAGTAAGATATGCAGCAGATACTGGCTGAAAGAATAATTATAGGTTTAAAAGTAGATTATTTTGGGAAAAAACCGTAAGAGTAAAAAAAGAATAGTATTATAACTGATAAAACAAAATTCTAGTCAAACTTTGCCGTTTGAATAACTTAAACAATGGAACTTTGTACTGCTTTGTATTGAGTAGAGTATGTTGGGATAACATATGACTGCAGTCAAGGCAGTTCTTTTCTGCCAGGCCCTGAGGGAAACAAGGAAGTAGGTATTCACTCTGGTGGCAAACCAGTGGGTAGCAAGTTGGAGGCTCTGGGTGATCCTCTGGCACTCACAGATCGATTAGGCCAAAGTGAAGACAAAAGCACGTGGAGGAGACCTTTAATACACCAAGGCAGCTGACAGGTTTTAAGTAAGGGATGAGCAGAACACATGGGTGACTTTATATTATGCTGGTTATTTGATTTCAAAATCAGTTATTTTCAGTTTTTAACCAAAAACAAAGGGAGTAGTAATAGGGTTTTTCTTTATCATAAACAGAGAGAAATTGAGAAAACCCTCAAGTCTCAGATTACAAAGCCTAACTCCTGAAACAATGTTTTCTCCAGCTGTCAAGCTGTTAAAATTAATACTGTTAACTTAATACTATTATAACCATAACAAAGCAGGATCCAGAGCACTGCATTCTAGAATGATTTCTTCTTCGCTATTTAGCTAGTCATTTAACGATTCAGCACTAGTAGAGAATTTAATATGCTCATCTCCTGTTTTTCCACCACTTTCATTTTTAGCTACTTAAACAAAGAGAAGTAGAATTTGCAATTGATGGCTTTTATGTGGCTTCAATAATTCACTTATTTGAGAATCCTTAATGATACAGACCTATAGCTGTCTGCTCTAGGGGAAAAATCCTGCAGTTAAATGGGTCAGAATAAATAATGATTTTAAGTCAGATATACTGAAAAGGTGCTGGTTTCATTTCATTACTTAAGTTAGGGGGTTGGCAAGTTGGGGAGAATAAATGGGAATCTTTTTTTTACTTGGTGTCTATTTGAACTTACCAAATATATCTGACGAGCTTACTATGTGTGTCACATGACTCCATGGCAGGGCACAGTGACTCGTCTATAATCCCAGCACTTTGGAAGGTTAAGGCAGGAGGTTGGTTTGAGGCCAGAAGTTTGAGATCAGCCTTGGCAACACAGCGAGACCCTATCTCTACCAAAAATTTTATAAAATTAAAAAAAAAAATGACTCCATGACTTTCAGTCACCAAATAATGCCAAGTCATAGTATTCTCAAGACAAATACACTTTATTTATTTTGAGACAGGGTCTCAATCTGTTGCCCAGGCTGGAGTGCAGTGGCATGATCACAGCTCACTGCAGCCTCAAACTCTTGGGCTCAAGCGATCCTCCCACTTCAGCCTCCCAAGTAGCTGGGACTACAGGTGTATACTACCACTCTCAGCTAATTTTTTTATTTTTTAGGAGAGATGGGGTCTTGCTGTGTTGCCCAGGCTGATCTCAAAGTCCTGGCCTCAAGTGATTTTCCCACCTTGGCCTTCCAAAGTGTTGAGATTACAGGTGTGAGCCACCATGCCCAGCCCAAATATACTTTAGATGGCCCAAAGACAACAAAGACTACTGGGTAACTACAAATGTATGTATACTACAGGAATAAACAAATAGGATTCTGGACCACATTTCAAAATAATATACTACCAAAGAATTATTTTAAGTATATTTTTAGTTACATTTTTTCCAACTAAGAGAATTTTAAAAATCGAATTTGACCCCCAGAAGGCACAGAAAAAGTATTTTATCTTAAATCAGAAAGCTAACTAGCAGAGTGGGATGACAAACCAGAAATTCTAACTTCGAGGTTAGTGCTTCTCAACCTCCTCCCCCATAATAATGTCATGCTGCCTCTAGTATTAGATTCTACATTGTCAAATATTAGGGGGAACTTGATTAGCACATCCAGCTGAGACAGCCAACGGCAAGAGCATGTGGAAATGGTCATGGTGATCTAGATCGAAAAGGTAGCCTTTCAAAAGATGACCTGTATAGTATGGCAACCACTAGCCACATGTGATTACTAAGCATCTGATTGTGGCTTGTCTGAACTGAGATGTGCTGTAAGTGTAAAATGCACACTAGATTTTAAAGATTTGGAACAAAAAAAGGGAATGTAAAATATCTCAATCATAAATTTTTATATTGATTTCACGTTGACATGACAATATTTCTGATATGCTGGGTTAAATAAAATGTATTAAAGTCATTTTTGTTTTTTCTAATGTGGCTACTAGACATCTGAAGTTATACATGTGGCTCACATATTTCTACAGAATAGTGCTGGTTTAGAAATAAGAGGTGGATAAGCAGTAGTGTGCAGTCTGTGAGATTTGTTTTGCTGCACTGAAAAGCATAGACAGTGTATTAGCAACCAATATATACCATTAGGGGACCACTGGGTAGACAAAAAGGGCTTAAATCTGATACGTCACAAAATTAAAAGCTACTAAAGAATTTGGTGGGGAGTAGATGGTGTACCCTGGCTAGTATTCAAAAATACATGTTAAGTATCCTTTATCTGAAATGCCTGGGACCAAAAGTGTTTTGGATTTCAGAATATTACATCATACTTACTGGTTTAGCATCCCTAATAGAAAAATCTGAAATCTTCTAATGAGCATTTCCTTTCAGCGTCATGTTGACACTCAAAAAGTTTGGGGTTTTAGAACATTTTGGATTTTGGATTAGGGACACTCAGCCTGTATAATAATTTTGGAGCCAGGCAGCATTTGAAACATGGGACTAAAATTACTTGCAGATTTTAAGAGTGATCTTAGTTTCCTCTGGATAAGTGGAATGCGTTTGCAAAGCTCAAATGAAATTTAAGCTGCCAATTTTACCACTAGGCCTTTCATTAAAGTATAATAAATTTAAAGAGGGCTGTTCCAGCAGATTTTTAAGAAATTTCAAGTTGGTGGAGCTTAGAATTTGTCTTATATTTTTATAATGTTATCTTTTGAAATGGCATTTGACTCATCTACAAGTTCACACATACACAAAAATAACAGAAATTCTTTTTTACCTCTAGCATGTATAATACTAACAAATACCTTAATGCACTTAGAATTTTTGCACCTACTTGAGTGAAAAGGGCTCGAATGATCGGAATCAAATACACTGCAAACATCTGTGGTACTGGAAGCACCAGAAGCAGGCGGAGGTGTTAACGGTGTTCTTGGAGAATTGGGTGCAGATGCTGTACTTTCTGTTTCACTTTCAGGGATCCTACTGTAACTGATTTTCCTTGGCTCCTGCTGCAGAGGTGTGGGATGCCTCATGGTACCTGGTCTTGGGTTTGATGGACGAACACCAGGAGACTTTAGGGGATAGCTATATTTTTTTGGCTGTAGACATATCAAAAGAAACACAATACTTTAAATACTGTAGTAGAAAGGAAGGTTTTTCTATATGTGCCTGGTAAAATTCAGCTAATATATAGGAAAATCATAATTCACTAATAAGGACATAATTATTCAAATAAAAGTAGAAAATTTAAAGCGTTAACATTCTATTTTGCTAAAGCCCTGGGTATCTAAATTGTTAATGCATTTCTTTAAATAACTAAGTTTTAGTCCTATAAATACTAGAGTATTTGTTATTTTAATATATTTGGGTGGAAGTTTTTCTAAAATGTATTGTGTATTTCCCTGGTTTTTAAAAGAGACTATTTTGAGCAAATTTAACTTTGCTGAACAGCCAGGATCATCACTGTGAATTACAATACCTTCCTATTCTGTAATACAGTGATGCCATCAGGACCATTTGAGATACTTACAAATGCATTAAATTGCCCAATTTTGATTTGTGTATATGTATGTATGTTCTATTGCATTTTCCTTGCAATAAAACTCATTTCTCAGTGCTGTATCAGAGTGCTTCGTTGGAGCAGATTATATACCTATTTCTCATTTTCTGTTTTTAATCCAGCTTATTAAAAACTGAACAAGGGCTTGAGAAATGTTGCTGTCAGGCAATTGCATACACTTTAATTAAAAGACATTATGTGATTTATCTTCGTCACTTAGAAGCCATCTATGTTTAATTCAGGATTCTTGACTTTTTTTTTTTTTTTGAGACGAGTCTTGCTCTGTCTCCCAGGCTGGAGCTGGACAGCCGTGGCATGATCTTGGCTTACTGCAACCTCTGCCTCCTGGGTTCAAGTGATTCTTCTGCCTTAGCCTCCCAAGTGGCTGGGACTGTAGGCACTCGCCACCATGCTCGGCTAAGTTTTGTACTTCATTAGAGACAGGGTTTTCACCATGTTGGCCAGGTTGGTCTCAAACTCCTGACCTCAGGCGATCCACCCACCTCGGCTTCCCAAAGTGTTGGGATTACAGGCATGAGCCACCGCACCTGGCAGACTTTTGACTTTTTTATGAACAAGAGAGTACACAGTCAAATCAGTGAGTTTGTGATTCTGTACATAAATTTGGCTGGGCATTGACAAGTAATGAAAAACAATGGAAACTTTATTTTCCCAAGAAAGTATTGTTAGCAAAACTTGATATTTTATGGCTAATGATTCATGGTTGAAAGTTGTAATAAGTCATTACTTTTTAAATGTCATAAGTAGATATATTTGTTATAAGTGAATTCATATAAATTCATTAAATTTCCTGTCTTTAAAATCTTAAATAACATTTTTTGGGGTAAAAAAAATTAAAAACTTATATAATATTTGCTCAATTTCATCATCTTTAATATCAGGATTTACTCAAATTAATATTAACATTCATTTATTTGGAAACAAGTGGGATGCTCCTGGACATAATTATTAAGTACTTTTTCATTACTTTTAACTATCACATGTATACTTCATCCCTGAATACCTTTATGGAAAACTAACCTATATAACACATACGGTAGTAATGATATCACCAGATGTAGATGACAACTGAAAAAAGTATTTAACTGTAAAATAAATATGAATATACAAATGCTTACAAATCTTGGGAGAGGCTTAGGGTTTCGTGGTTCTATTTCTAGGGATTTATTGAAAAGATAATCCGTAAATTCTTTTTCCATGCTGTTTCCCATCGGATTCAAGTTTTCAAAGAATCTCTAAAATAAATGCAAAGAAAAAAATATTAATATTAAAAATTATAAATTCAGTTTGAAATTCATGGAAAGTTAAGAAAACATTTAATACAAGTAAATTTGAATTATTTCTTTTAAGGTTTAGTTTACTTTTTCTCCCCTATAAAATAAACCTGCCTTTTATTAGGTAGTTTATAAACTTAATCAGAAGTATGAATCCTTAAATTCAACTTACTTTGATATCTGATTCTACTCGTAAACAGTAAGGCTGATTTTGGTACTGCTGGATCTCTCCTGTTATTTCTGCTACTTTCCTCCTTTTGCTAAAGTTTATAAGCTCTTTTCCATGTCTTTTTAGGACCTCAGGGTTGCCTTCTTCTGTTTTCAAGATATTAGTGAGATAAATTCCTAGAAGATATAAAGGAATGATTTCAAGGATAAAGAAGGAAAATGCAAGTTTTTTTTCCTGTTTCATTAATTGTGGGTATTACACTGTACCATCTCAATTGCCATAACAAAAGAACCAAGGCTCAGATTTCCATGATATGAAAAACAGCAGCTTAAGAGAAAGTATCTGTGAAAGACTTAAATTTTATAAACATCCAAGAAAAAGGGAGGGAGGCCAAGTTTAATAAAATTAATAGATTTGTTAGGAAGAATAATCAATCTGACATACCCCCTCCAAACCATTGTTATTTGCTATAAATCAGTTTTATTAAAGGAACTTTAAGAATAACTTCGTCACTAATGACATATAATTTTTGGCAAACAGGAAAAATACTAAATTCAGAGGATCATAGCTTCTGCTTAGTCAGCTCTGACGGCCCCACAAGAGGTTGTTATGATTTGCAATTGAGAAGTAGTACTATTTGGATAGGCTTATTCATGGAAATGTGGAAGGTTTTGCAAGCCTGTCAAATGCAGGACTGCATACAATTTATATAAATTCTGGTCTTTAGTAGTTTCTAGACTTAGTGGCAACCTGGTAATTGATTTCCTGTTTCCCCATCACTACAGTTGTACACTGGACGAGGAGGAGAATGAACAAAATAATAGGCACTTTCTCTTCTAGCATAAAGGCTCTGGAACCAGTTCTGCTGCTTTCTTTGTGTGTGATCTTATTAGTACTTTTTTATATTTTATATTTTTTATTTTTTGAGATGGAGTCTCACTCTGTCTCCCAGGCTAGAGTGCAATGGCACGATCTTGGTTCACTGCAATCTCCGCTTCCTGGTTTCAAGTGATTCTCCTGTCTCAGCCTCCCGAGTAGCTGGGATTATAGGCATGTGCCAGCACACCCAGCTAATTTTTGTATTTTTAGTAGAGATGGGGTTTCACCATGTTGGCCAGGCTGGTCTCACACTCCTGACCTCAGGTGATCCACCCACCTTGGCCTTCCAAAGTGCTGGGATTATAGGCGTGAGTCACCGCGACCAGCCTGTGTGTGTGATCTTGTGCAAATTGCTTAATTAGTCTCTCTGTGCCTGTTTTTCTCATCTGTAAAGTGAGGACGGGAGGGCTGCTGTGAGAAACAAATGAGTGAATATATGTATGAGCTTAGAATAGAGCCTGACAAAAGTTAAGTATTAATTAGCCATGGTTGTGATTGTTGATGCTGTTGTTGCATCTTGCCCTAATATTACGCTTCTACCTTTTCCCCTAAAGTACTGATTATGATGCTTTGGGGAGAAAAAAGGGGTGTGAATATCTGAGTTCGTTCACTCCCCACACATGTAGGGATTCTCTGCTGTAAGCCGAGTCCTGCATTAGGTACTGCAGGTACAAAGATGAGGAAGACCTCCAGCAGTCCAGTGCTTAAGGAGTTCCTGACCTCAGGGATCCAGAGCTTTGAACTGTTGGCTACTACAGTATAATTTGCTAAGTGCTACATACTAGGAGGTACTATATTAGTAGTAATGCATAAGATGCTATGAGAGCAAAAAGGAGGCATTCTGTCTTGAGCTGGGAGAATTAGAAAAAGCAACACAGATGAGATAATGCTTAGAATAAATCTCAAAAAATGAGAAGTGTAATGAGTAGAATAAGATAGAAGAGCAGTCTAAGCAAAGCAGCAATGTGTATAAAGGCACTGATTCATGATGAAGCTTGCTTGAAAGACATATATAGAGATAATTTGCTCTTTAGTATGGCTAGACCATAGGGGTTTGGTGTGTGGGGTAGAGAAAGAGTGGCAGGGTATGAGGATAGACATAGGCAAGGGCTGGGTTTGTACTTCGAAATGCTTTTGTGGTAGAGGCATACCACAGAAATCTTTGGCCATATCCTTGGAAAGATAAAAGGATCCAAATCAATATTGAACAGATCAGCAATAATGAAATCTAACTGACATCAATGCCTGTTTGGTTTTTAAAAGGATCCAGTTATTAAGTGCGTTAGTTACTTGGTTATTTCTCAGCACCTAGGCTATGCGTGATGATACATTCATAAGACAAAGTGACTGTATGTTCTAGTAAGCACAGGCTTTTTTATTTTCACATCTGCCTGTCATTTGGCTTTTACTTTCAGCCATTTGTACTCTCCTCTACACAAGTTGCATGATCCACTCAGCTCAGTGTTCAGTCTGACAAACATGTCCATAAGAATATGCATTTCAATGGCAGCCCAAATCAACCTTGGTCACAAACTGATGGCCCATCTGTGAAGAGTTTTAGGTATTAGCACTTGGACTGGGTCATGAAGTGCCTTTTGTTAAATAGCTTAACTTTTATCTAGGAGATAATTAGGGAATTATAAGGATCTTTGTTTGCATTCTAGAAGGATTACTATAGTTGTACTATGAAGCCAGATGGGTTGGAAGGAGTTAAGAGCAGTTAGTAGGCTAACAATAGTCCTGGTGAGATGATGAGGGCTGCCCTAGTATCTATGGGGATAACTGGGAGTGGATAAATATTTAAGAGGTAGACGCCCCAAGAACTGATTAACTGGTTTGGGGAGGAAACGGGGGCAATGGGAATGAAGACTCACCGCTTTGTTCTTGAAAGCACACTTGAATGAAGTTGTGAAAATGCTTATAAGTAGCGCTTCGGTACAGTTCGGGATGAAATTTGGAAATTATTTTATGCCTAACTGATGGCTAGCTAAAAGAACAAATGATCACAGCAGTGGTGTCCCAACTTTGATCTTACGCTGCATCAGTAAAAAATATTTAAGCACATATCCTAGCTTTCTCCTTATATACACATAGTTTAATAAAAACATAGCATATATGTATGTATGTATAGCATAAACCTGAGAATTATATACTAGTAAAGCTCAGTGTTTTTTTTATGTTTTAAAAAATACATAAATAGAAAGTCTAGTTATTCCTGTACTTCAATACATCATTTAACATACCCTACCTCTGGAGGCAGCTCTTCTAGGGAAAAGGGAAAACAGAGCATTATGACAAAGAAGAAGGCTGACGTTTCACCTTTTTGCTGTTGTCTTTCCCATCCTTCCCAGGACAAAGCTGCTAAGGATTCTAGGCTTCTATAGTATTTGTCCACACTTCAATCTACACTTTTCTGCAATACAGTGTTATACTTACTACACAGTGCTGTGACTTACTTCTGTGCTCTTTCAAGGGAGCAGAAACTATGGAACTGTATCTTATTTGTCTATGCTTAGCATGTAGCCCTGGGCATAACACATAGGGGCATTCAACAAATGTTTTTGACTGAATGAAGAAGTATATTATTTCAAAATAGAAGAGAGGCATTTAATAGATAGGCCAGGATATGAGAATCAATTCTAAACTAGCTGGAAAGCAAGAATGGAGACAAAGCAAATTTACACATAACAGAAGGAGGACACAAGATCAGAGTTGTGTAAAAGCAAAGGGCAAAGTCAATGCTAAAGGCTTGGATGTTTGATGACAAACCTGATTAAGGTACATCCTTTTACCTTAGAAAAAATTCTATTTTTGAGACAGAGTCTCGCCTCATCACCCAGGCTGGAGTACAGTGGTGTGATCTCGGCTCACTGCAACCTCTGCCTCCTGGGTTCAAGCAATTCTTCTGCCTCTGCCTCCTGAGTAGCTGGGACTACAGGAATTGTACCCCATGCCTGGCTAACTTTTGTATTTTTAGTAGAGATGGGGTTTTGCCATGTTGGCCAGACTGGTCTCGAACTCCTGGCCCCAAGCAATTCACTCACCTCAACCTCTCAAAGTGCTGGGATTACAGGCGTGAGCCACTGCGCCCAGCTGAAAAAATTCATTTCTTAGCCCACCTATCCATTCTACCTATCAGAATATTTTAGTTTATGGAGAAAAACTGTGTTATAGACCTGAGACATCTGGCAGAGTGTTGGAAGGAGTAACTGCCCTACTTTTTTATTCTGTAAATGGTGGTAGTGCCAGCAAAAGATGGGAATAATGCTGGTAAAATAATAGAGGAAGTATCAGGTACTATCTCTGACCCTCCCCCAAAGAAGGGGTTTGAAAACCAGTATCCAGAATTTAGGAAAAGAATCTGGAAGGAGTTTCTATAAACTACCATATAGACAGGATGGAATTCAGAAGCAGCAATAACATCTGGCTTTACCCACTGGGTCAGAACTGTACAAAAGGCTGTCTAACTCCAGAGACTGATAACTTTTAACTTAAGAATAGCAAAGACAGGGCACCAAAACTGACCAGGGTCAGTTGTAGATAAACTACCTTAAAGGAGCAGAAGCTCAGTAACTAGGAAGATGAACAAGAAGAAAGAGGTACAAAGGCTGGCAGATAGCTGTGCCTATTAAACTTTGTGTGCCTATCAAACTACCTACATGTTTGTATTCACTCAAGAAATCACACAGCTCACCTTAAAACACCTTATGAACTCATACTCTAAAGTAGGTCTGAAACTTCCTTCATTCATTTAAAAACATGTTATGGCCGGGTGCGGTGGCTCACACCTGTAATCCCAGCACTTTGGGAGGCTGAGGCGGGTGGATCACCTGAGGTCAGGAGTTTGAGACCAGCCTGGCCAGCCTGACCAACATGGTGAAACCTCATCTCTAGTAAAAATACAAAAATTAACTGGCTGTAGTGGTAGGCGTGGTGGTGGGTGCCTGTAATCCCAGCTACTTGGAAGGCTGAGGCAGGAGAATCGCTTGAACCCGGGAGGCAGAGGTGGCAGTGAGCCGAGATCGCACCACTGCACTCCAGCCTGGGCAATAAAAGCGAGAATCTGTCTCAAAAAAAAAAAGAGAGAACATGTTATGAAGATCCGTTAAGTTTATAAAGATCTTAGAGAAGACTTTGGACAGTTTCAGCTTGTATGAATAAATACCCGCAATTAGGATGACAGAGGAGCAGGGGCCAAATAGTGAGTCAGTGAATGGGTCCTGGGGTTTCTTTTCATGTCTGTGTACCAGAGACCACATGACATCATGAGTAGCATGACTATAGGCTAGGTGAGCATAGTGACTGTGTATTTTTCACTTTTCTAAGCACCTGACGTAGTCCTGGTACTTAGTAGGTATTCAAGAAATATACGTTGACAGATTGAATAATATAACGTCAGATATATCCAGAGCCTTTCCAGTTCCCCTTGAATGAACTGGTAACATAGTCAACATATTTAAGCAAAAACATAAATTCTTTAACATTTTACCCGGAAGATAAAAATCTATGAACTCCATATTTTTATCAAGAATGTAGAGGGTCAGGCTGGGCATGGTAGCTCACACCTGTAATCCTAGAACTTTGGGAGGCCAAGGCGGGTGGATCTCTTGAGCTCAGGAGTTCGAGACCAGCCTGGGCAACCTGGTGAAACCCTGTGTCTACAAAAAATAAAAAAATTAGCCAGGCATAGTGGTTTGTGCCTGTAGTTCCTCCCACTTGGGGGACTGAGGCGGGACGACTGCTTGAGCCCATGAGCTGGAGGATGCAGTGAGCCAAGATGGTGCCACTGTACTCTCCAGCCTGGGTGATAGAGTGAGACCCTGTCTTAAAAAAGAAAAAAAAAAAAAAAAAAAAAAAAAAAAAAGAAGAGGTAGGGGAAAAGTCCTCAGGAAAACTAGGAATTAATAATGATTTTTTTTAAACCTCATAAAAGCAGCAGATAGAGACCTTATCTTTTTGAAGAAAAAAGTAAATTAAAGCAAATAAGTAAAAACAGAAATGAGAAAGATATATTATAAATAGAAGTAATTAAAAAAACATGTTTGTAGATATAAATTGAAGGCTAGTATTTTTAAAATAATGAAATGAAGCAATTCTGTAGCAAGAATGATGCTTTCTTAAAAGGATAAAAACCATCTAATAGAGCAAGTAGTAAAATTATACTTCATCCCTGCTAAAACTGAGTTTAAAACAAGCTGCTTATTTCTGCCATTATTTTTAAAGCTTTGTTTGGGAAGTTAATGACCAGTTATGTAAGACATAACACAGAAATCAGGTCAAAGGAAGAGATACTGAATTATATTTTGTAAACATGATTAAATATTTAGAAAACCCAAGGAAATTAAAAATTCTTGGAGTTAAAGGTAACTGAATGAATACCATTCAAACCAAAAATACCCAGGAAAAATAATAAGGGGAAATGCTAAATATAATAAATGGTCTTTAGAAATTAATTGATAGATTGTTTCAGTTACATTTGGGGTCATCTCCTCCCACCCAAACTTATGAAGTTCATTTGGAAAAATAGGCAAAATTGGCCAAAAAAAAAAAAAAGGAGTGAAGAAACCCTGAAGAACCAACTCTTTATCATCTGTGAAAACACTATATAAAGCAGGGTTTCTCTGTTTCAGCACCACTGACTTCTTGGACTGGATACTTATGGGCTGTAGGGAAGTGTCCTGTGCATTGCAGTATGTTAGCAATATCTCTATCCTCTACCCACTAGATGCCTGTAGCACCATCCCAATAAGGACAATTAAAAAAAATTATCTCCAGACATTGCTAAATGCTCCCTAGGGGGGCAAAAACTGCCCCCTGCTGAGAATCACTGATTATAAAGTGACAGTCCTTAAAACTGTGGCAGGGGGATAGGAAGTCAGTGAGATACAATACATATTAAAGAAAGAGGTCCCTGGCTGGGTGCGGTGGCTCAAGCCTGTAATCCCAGCACTTTGGGAGGCCGAGGCGGGCGGATCATGAGGTCAGGAGACCAAGACCATCCTGACTAACACGGTGAAACCCTGTCTCTACTAAAAATACAAAACGAAATTACCTGGGCGTGGTGGCAGGCGCCTGCAGTCCCAGCTACTCAGAGGCTGAGGCAGGAGAATGGCGTGAACCCGGGAGGTGGAGCTTGCAGTGAGCCAAGATGGCAGCTACTGCACTCCAACCTGGGTGACAAAGCGAGACTCTGTCTCAAAAAACAACAACAAAAAAGGAAGGAGGTCCCATGTGTAAACAGGGAAAAAGAAGAATCATTCAATAAACCTGGATTAACAAATAAATAATTTGGGTGGGGAAATAAATTTGAGTATTTCATAAGATATCAAAGATACTTCAGTTTGATATTAGAATTAAATATAATTTTGAAAGTCATAAAAAAGCTAGAGGAAAATATGATTATTAAATTACTAGATTATATGAACTTTCTAAGGTTAGAAACAATAGAAACCAGAATGAGAAAGGACAGATGGTAGAATTTAAAACTAATACACGTCAATGAATAAAAAGTACAAGGCAGACTGTTTGCAGGAGATACAAAAAAGGACATGGACAAGAGGCAATGCAAATATTGAAGAAATGTTTGAAAAAAAATCTCCACAGTCATCAAAGAATGGAAATTATTGCAACAAATAGCTTAGTAGTTGTAATAACAGAAATGAAAAAAAAAAAAAAGTACCATCCAAAATTGGAAACCATGGGATGAAATTTCCTTTGTCATACACTTGATGGCGGCATAAATGTCATACACTTCTCATGGCAGCCTTTCAGAAAGCAACTTAAAAATACATATCAACAGTTTAAAGATGGACACCTTTTAACCTATGTATAGTAGTCCCTCCCCTATCCAAAGGTGATAAGATCCCCAGTGGATACCTGAAACTATTACTAAACCCTATACATGCATACACATACTACATACATACCTATGAGCTTAATTTATAAATTAGGCACAGTAAGATTAAAAATAGCTAATAATAAAATGGAACAATTATAACAATCTATTGTAATAAAAGTTACATGAATGTGGTCTTCAAAATATCTCATGTTTTTAGACCACAGTTGACCTAGATAACTGAAACTGTGGAAAGTGAAACCATGGAGATGGGAGCACTACTGTAATTCCTCCTCTGGTTATCTATCTTAAGAAGATATTTTCAAATACAGAAAAATAGTATAAATGAAAATCTGAATCAGAAAATTATTTCGAAAGCAAAAAAGCTGGAAACAATGTGTCCAACCACAGGGTAATGGTTAAACAAATTGTCCAATTTTATGGAATATTATGCAGCCATTATAAATAATTAAGATTATTTAATAAAATACAAAAAAATAAGATATGGTATGTGAATAACCTTAATATGCACATGATACAATTACAATTATATACCATGTGCACAGCAAAAAGATTAGAAGTAAATACAAAAATGGTTGCTATAAAGGCTAAACAATAAAATATGGGAAAAGATATTAAAAGTATCAGGACATAACATTGTTACATGCAGTGGAATTTGAAACTATATAAAAAAAATAGATATAGATGAGGAAAAGGCTAGAAGAAACTATAGCACATACTAAAGAGACTAGAGAAAGACCATAATTTCTATAAGCATTCAAAAGAAGGAACATCAGGGCATATATATACTCAGGCAGAAAAAAGACAAGTAGGAAAGAGATATTGAATACATGAAAATACAGGAAATAAAGAATGGAAAAAGATAGAGGAACCTACAGAAAGGGGGATTCAGGTGGTAGATTCAGTCCTAAAAAGGAAGGAAAAGGTACTTCCTTCCTCTGATGCAGAAGGGGAAAAATAAGAGAGGATGAAGAGAATTAAAATTCTGATGTGCCAGAGGTGTGGGCCCAAAGACACAGCAGGCACACTATGATTTTTAGCCATGTGAAACTGTTTACAAAAATGGTTATAAATATGCCTCTGCTGTATTCAGTTTATTAAAATTCAATTAAAAAGGCTTTTATAAATATAAAAACACCAGTATTATATAATATCTAATGGCTGCCTAAGATGAAAATAGAAAATGAAATGTATATTAGACTTGACCTTAAGTCTTAATGAGAAAAATTCTAAAGGGTTTCAGGTGCTAAATATTGGTCAGACAAGTATTTTCTGCTGGCATATTACACGTGTAATTATTCAGTCATTTAATGAAATAAGTGTTTTATCCAGAAATGCAATAAAAATTCAGAAAGAAATACTTACCAAAGAAAGGCACACATGGTGGATTAATAGACCTGAGTTTTGCCAAATATTTCTTATAGTGATCTTCACTCAATTCATGAGCTTCTTCTAAAATTTTCTTCTGGCGACTTGGTATTTGCTATAAGGAAAAAAAAAAAAATAGGAGGCATAAGTTTAAAAAAGGAATCAAAGGTCTTGTCAAAAAAAAAAAAAACTAGGCTAACAGGCCCAAATACAACAGTATCAATTCGATTTTATGACTGTAACACTGCTTTAAATAAATTATCTTCATAGACCTCAGTATAAACTTAAAGTGTGTGTGTGTGTGTGTGTGAGAGAGAGAGATCTAGTTTATCATGTCATTCCTTACACAATTATGTGAACATTTAATTTACATTATCTTACAAATTAAGTGCCAAAAGTTTTTTCTTCTTCTACCTTAGGCTGGGACCTGTGAATACATTTTAATAGGAATGTTTAATTTTTAAAAAGCAACCAATTCATTACAAAACTTAGATAATTCAGTCTTTTAATCTCCTGAAAAGACAAATGAGACATTTAAAAATTAAAGATAATAATTGTTAAAAATCTAATGTTTATAATAGGGAATGAAAGTTCATTTTAAAAACACATGTAGAAACCTACCTCAAATGTGTGGTCTAGTCTGTAAACAGGTGAGGAATTCATAGCACTGACAACCTCAAGGACACCATTAAAGTTGTTCAACTCTTGAAAGACTTGTAGAATCTCAATTATTCGACTCACCACAGCTACTCTTTCTTCTAAATTTTCAGTTTCTACAATACATCTGGGAATTAAAAAAAAAAAAAAGTGAACTAAAGATTCTAGAGTTTTTCCAATAAAGTTATAAAGAATTTAGTAAATAAAATAATGTAGAGAGTCGGGGCAGGTGGCTATAGTATAACTACTATAGAGAAGACACATTCGGGGTGACTGATAGAAGGAAGGCAGTGCCTCCAGTGAGGCATACTGCTCTTTTCTGTTTTCTAGACTGGTACAGTCAAACAATCATTTTCCTACTGTATTTGGTGCATCCTCTATTAGCATTAGAATTAACTGGTGAGGCTACTATCTTGTGGTATGTATGTAAGTCTTTGTGAGGTCTTTGTGATATGGGTGTATTCTAGTAGAATTCAAGAATGAGTGATTAATGCTCAATTTCTTTCTTTCATATATAATTGGCTGCATACATTTCTAGGAACAGCGCTGTTCCTATGTTTCCTACATTTCTAGGAACAGCATTAAATGTAATGGCAAAAGCCACAATTACTTTTGCACCAACCTAATATATAATTGCATTGAGATTCTGGACTTGTGGTATGATAGTATGAGTTTCACTGAGTGAAACTGGTAAAAATTATTAAAACACACAAACACACACATGCACATGTACACACACACATTTAAAGTCTCTAGTAATGGCCCTGAGAGCAAACAGCAAAAGAAACATCTATTCACGAAAATCTACAAAAATTTGGTAAGAGAGGGAAGAGAGTCTGGTATTTGAACCAAGACTGGTCCCTCCCTCCTTTCTCCCAGCTCAGTGAGGGTGGACTGAGCATCTACTCCAGATTCCTGCAGTCAAGAACACCTAGCTCCCAGTGAGGTGCAGGAGCAGGACTTTAGTTTTCTCATCCTGTCCCTGCTGCCTGTTGCTGAGGCCAAGTCCCAGTTGAGTGCAGCTGAAACGTGGGAAGACCCTTCCTTGCCCAACTTCCACTTATGGAATGGAGACTCTACCTTGGGTATGATATTTTGAGAATACTGAGAAAAGAGCCCTTTCTCTGGTTCCTGAAGGCGTAGTTCCATGCCAGAAGAGGCAGGTAAGGAGACCTCAGGCTACAGTACCATCGTCTGCCACTCTACCTGCTCAACCAAGCTCCTAGGGCAGAAGTGTCACTCAGAGAAAAGCTTGCCATTATCCCGAGCCTCAGAGCCCTGTTTCAAACAGATAGCTCCTAATCTTGTCATTTGCAACAAAGTATAAAGTAGTTTAAATTTAATGGTGCCCTTAAGAACAGAGGAAATTGTGGTGAAAGGCAATGGGGAAGGGATTTGTGGATCTAATGAAGATACACCCTAGACTGTAGGCAGAGTAGTTTGCAGGGGAGAACTAGGAAATAAGACAACTGAGAGAAGCCCTCCTGGGGTCAGAACAAGTATGAAACAGAAATCTCAGAAAACCATTCCTTCAAAGGAGCCACAATCTGATTGCATTATTTTGTATAGCATTTATGCCACCAGGAAATTGTTGAAAACATCAGAGCAATCAGCTGGCAAATTGTGGAGTTTCATAGCTGGGTGTGTGTGGTCAGGGAAGGAGTGGATGGGTCTTTCCGGTACCACTGCCACGCAGTAAGAATCCCTGGAAAGGGGGTTGGGGAATGAGGAGCAGCACTCAGAGTTGCTACAATATATTATCTGAAATGTCAGGTTTCCAACAAAAACAGATGAGGTATGCAAAGAAATAGAAACGTATGACTTACAGTGGGCTGCAGGTGGGGGAGGGGGGGAAGGACAGCAGGGCGGGGGAAGGAACAGAAACTGCCTGTGAGAGCAACCAAATGTCAGATTTAACAACAATAACAAAAAAGATTTCTAAGTAGCCATTATGAATATGGTTACAGAATTAAAGGAAAGCATGAAAAAGAAGGAAAGGAAGGTATTGATGACAATGCGCATCAAAGAGAGGATATCATTAAAGAGACAGAAACTATAAAAAGGAACCAAATGGAAATTCTGGAATTAAAAAGTATAATAACTGAAATAAAAAACTTACTGGAAAAGCTCAATAGTGTATTTGAACTGAAAAAAAGTATTAACTTGAAGATAGAGGTATTGTTCAAAAATGAAGGTAAAATAAAGATTTTCCCAGATAAACAAAAACTGAGAGAATCTGTTGCTAGCCGACCCTCCAGAAGAAATACTAAAGGAAATTCTTCAGGCTGAAAAGCAAGTGATCCCAGATGGTAATTCGAATCCACACAAAGATCACCAGTAAAGGTAACTGTGTAATTATTAAAGACATTTTGTAAATGCGTATTTTTTTCTCATTTCTTCTCATAACTGACTTAATATAAACACATTGTTGAGTTTATAACATAGAAATGTAATATATGTGTAATATGTTGCCAATAATACACAAAGGAGGTGGGTGAGAGCAAAGCTTTAATGGTCTAAGAGTATGATGACAAATGGTAAAGTAATAACTGTAGCAATGTATTGTTTGATTTGCATCATTAATAAGATGTAATATGTATAACTACCACAAAAAAGGGAGAAAGGGAATAGAGCTACATAGGAGTAATATTTCTATATAACACTGGTATGAAGCTACTGTAAGTCTGAAGCTGATTCTGACAAGATGTGTGTGGTAAACTCTAAGGCAACCAGGCAACCATTAAAAGAACCTCAAAAAAAGTTAATGAAAATAATTAGTGAAACTAAAATGCTACATTAGAAAAACATTCAACGTTTTCTAATGAAAAATATTGTCATTTTCATTCAGTGAAAAAAATTACTAAATAAAGGAGAAACAGAGGAAAAAGACATGAGACATATAGAAATAAAATTGCATTGGTCAGGAACAATGGCTCATGCCTGTAATCTCAGCACTTTGGGAGGCCAAGATGGGTGGATCACTTGAGGTCAGGAGTTCAAGACCAGCCTGGCCAACATGGTGAAACCCCATCTCTACTAAAAATACAAAAATTAGCTGGGTGTGGTGGTACACGTCTGTAGTTCCAGCTACTCAGGAGGCTGAGGCCTGAGAATTGCTTGAACCCAGAAAGCAGAGGTTTCAGTGAGCTGAGATCATGTACTGCACTCTAGCCTGGGCAACAGAGCCAGACTCAGTCTCAAAAAAAAAAAGAAAAATTAGGTGAGTGTAATATCACACACACTTGTAATCCTGGCTACTCTGGAGGCTGAGGTGGGAGGATCGCTTGAGCCTGGGAGGTGGAGGTTTCAGTGGGCCGATGTTGTGCCACTTCACTCCAGCCTATGTGACAAAGCAAAACTCCCTCTCAAAAACAAAAACAAAAACAAAATTGCATTGAAATTCATAATATGGCTGACAGCTATAAAATGTAAGAATGCTAGGAATACTTACTTCTCAAACCACAGAGTGAGGTTGGTGGTATGTCGAATCATTTTCAGAAGATTAGGAGAGTTAATTTCTTTGTCTTCTTTTGTCCACACACTTCCAACTAATTCTGATGGCTGTACAGCTCTAAAATCATCAATACATAATTCTACATGACACTTTTTCCTCTAATATAGACACTGTTTTATTAAGTAAAGGAGATAGATTAAAAACTAAACTCTCATATGGACTTTCCTCTTACACCAACAGAAAGGTTTGTGAAAACAAGGTATAACAAAAAAGTATAATTATGCATATTTCCTTATGGATTTTTTAAAACTTTTTTTTTTTTTTTTTTTTTTTTTTGAGATGGAGTTCCACTCTTGTTGTCCAGGATGGAGTGCAATGGCACAATCTTGGCTCACTGCAACCTCCACCTCCCGGGTTCAAGTGACTCTCCTGCCTGAGCCTCTCGGGTAGCTGGGATTACAGGCGCCCGTCACTAAGCCTGGCTAATTTTTTGTATTTTTAGTAGACAAAAGGTTTCACCATGTTGGCCAGGCTGGTCTCGAACTCCTGACCTTGGGTGATCCACCTGCCTTGGCCTCCCAAAGTGCTGGGATTACAAGAGTGAGCCACAACGCCCGGCCTTTAAAAACTGTTTTTAAAAACTATTTTTATGGAAATATCTGTGTACTTTTAGTGTTGCTTTATAGTAGCATTTTGCTTTGGGCAAGGTTGAGACTCCTCCATAATATCTTTTCCAGCATTTATAAACATTATTAATAAATTAGGGTGACAAAGTAGACATTTAAGTAATGATATCTGTTATAAATCAGTTCAAAGAGGGTATAGTAATCAATGCAATTCCTACATCTTTTTTTTTTTTGGTCTAAAGGAGGAGAGGAAAAAACCTACCGCAAAAGGGTCCTAGGAAATAAACAAAATAGATTCTAAAACTGTAATTTTCAGAAATGTGATTTTTAGTGGGAGATCTATAAATTTAGCTCATTTTCTCATTTAGCTATTAAAAAATGAATAATTTAGTTTAAGATTCTAAATAGTCCCCATTTAAAATCAGAAGGACATTTTTGAGATAATTATATCAATGTAGTATGATAAACTAAAAAAGACTATAATGGCTATAAGTTCACAATAAAGCAGTAGCCAACATTTATTGAGCCCTTACTTTGTGCTAGGTAATGTACATATATTGACTTTCAAACCTCAAAACAGTCCCAGGAGTACGTACTATCAGTAGCCCCATTTTACTCTTGAGGAAAATAAGGGGCAGAAGGATAAAGTTACACAAGGAGGTTAAAGTTGCCCAGGGTCAGCAATTAGTAAAGCCAGGATTTGAACCTAGCCTTACCAACTAGGGGTGACCACAGAAAGACAGAAGGTGTAAATTCAGCTGGAGGGACCAAGGGAGTGAAAGAACAGGAAGTGCCTGCCTGGCCTCATTACTAGACACTTCATGTATGATTTCAGTTAAGTCTTAGGACAACCCTGTAAGGCAGAAATCAGTATTTCATTTTAAAAATTCACTCTTTTGAAATGATTTTTCAGCTTGAATGTTAAAGTACATACCGGTATAGATCTGATTCAAGTAAAGTGAGTTGTCGAGCAATTTCTATTGGGTGTAAGGTGAGCAGGTCGAAAGTCTCTATGTGCCCAGGTCTGCTTATATGCCACTCAACTGTGGGAGGTGAACTCTGAAATGTAATATTATGACCTGGTCCATTGTCTCTTGCAATTTTTTTCCTTTGGATTATTTTAGTGATGGATTCAACCCATTTTTTCATTGCTTTACCTGCAATACATTATATTTTAAATAACATTTAAATATTCTTTATTTAATATTTTTTAAATGGTTTAAAATCACACAGATGATACCTGAACGTATCTTTGCTATAATGATACGTTTCAAATGATCAAAATGAAAAATACAAGTTCCCTTTTTCCATTTCCCGGCCCCCATCCTAATCTTATTCTTCTCCACATGGGTAACCACTGTTAGTAGCCTGGCACGCATTCTTCCAGATCCTTTCCAAATAAAATTAGAAAGTACTTAATTTGTAGAGATTGTCCACCTCATTGTTCTGATCTTCAGTTTAATGTATTATTTTATAATCCTCCAAAAGGTATATCTTATGTAAATCACAAGATTTATAGGGATAGATTATACACACTATTAATCTAATTCACATTGCATTTTATAAACCAATAAATATCAGTGCCAGAGGACTGATTCCTTCATTTTTAGTGTGAGTTTTGATGTGGCTCTGTTTTGTATTGTACATTTAAAGTACTATTATTTAACTATTTTCTGATTATCATTTAGAGCATACAAAGGAAATAAAAATAAGTTTGTCTAAGACATCCTTAGAGCTATACACTCACATAATCTTTAAAACTAGAAGGAAAACCTTGGAGATCAACAAACCTAGCTCCTCATGTTATTGATAAGAAAACTGAGGTCTAAAGAATCTAAATGATTTTGCCCAAAGTCACATATCTGATCAGTGGTAGTGTTAGACACAAACTCTCAATTTAATCCACTCTGCTTCCTCTCTGATTCTCTCTGTTCACCTGTGGCCCACTCGACCTCCATCAGTGGTGTTATAATGGCACAATGTAATTCCCAAACGTCCTCATACTTTGGGATATGTATGAAGACTTGGCTTAACCAACTCTTAAAATAATCAGTAAGTTGATTCAGTAAATGAAAATACATTGGATCAACAGGGTGACTGTTTAGCAATTTGCAGGTCTAAATGTTGTTTGATGAAAATTTTTAACTTTTTCAAATGTTTATGCTGGTACTATTATAAACATCTCGTATTACTGAACCACAATAACATCAATTGATAGTCACCGTGTTGGTACTTTTATTACATATAAAACTAAGCACCTAAAAAAAAAAAACATACCTCTTACTGTTCCAATAAATTCTTCCATTCGTTGCAAAAGATATGCATCTCTTTCAAAATCATAGAAGTGGTGCTCTACCCAGTGCCGACATACATTTAATACTCTACAGCATTAACACAGAATTGAATTACATGGGAATTAAACATAAATGTTTATCACAATGCATGGTACAATACAAATGAAAACACAGTAACTCTTACCAAATTATTCTTATCAGGGTGCCTAACACTTCCAAAATTCTACATTAAGACTTACACTATAATTTCTGATAACTGCTCTAATTAGTAAATTTAATTTATTAATTTTATTGTCACCCCGCTCCTTGTTTGGGAAAGGTCCTTATATACTTCAACACTAAAATGAAAGTTTGATAAAGACTTATTTACTTCATTTATTTAATGCTTACCGCAGTTGCACAGGCTGTATATATTCTTTTCTAAATCTTTTCAGTTCTGCACTCAAGGGTTGATCTCCATTCTCTATAGCTATGCGATCAGCTTCTGTTGGCTCAGGCTCTGGAATTTCAAACCTAACATAAAATAGAACAAATTAATGAAAATACTAATTATATCGAGTTATACAAATAGAAAACCACAAATGTTTTCACCTGTCAGCAAAATCAAGAGAATACTGTAAAAAATTACTAAAAATATGCATGTCAGTGTAAATAAGTGAGACTTCTATAATATTAAAGGTTAATAAAATTATTTTTAAAATTTTAAAAGAAATTAGTACTTGCCAATATAGATAAAACTAACTACAAACAAAAGAATACATGCAAATTCTAAAAATAAATGTGACTATAAAGTTATGGGACTGATATTCATTTTTGGTCTGTGGAATTACTCTAAATCAGGTAACATAATCACTGTTAAGGGTAATCCCAGAAAAACTGACTACTCTTTGTTTGGGTACATGAAATATTTTCCTTCCATCACAGTATTTGTTCATTGACAAGCTCCATTTTACTCGACATGAAGTATGTTTGAAAACTTACTTAGAACATCTAACTCATCAAAATTTGAATTTCTCGACTCTAAATTATAAATTTTATATAGATCGTTCTGTAAATTTGAAATTTCAAATACCGAGTTTTCACAAACAAAAAATAATTTTTGTATTGAAATAATAAAAGCTAACAAAATAAATGTTCACTTAAGAGATTTTATTTATTGAAAAAGTGCTCGTGAAGTATATTTTAAAGCTCATCTAACATTTCTGAAAAACATAAGATCTTAGCTCAATCTCTTTTTTAACAAAAAATAATTTAAATATTTTTTAAATGGACAGACCTTTCTATTATAAGACTCAGTAGTTCTTGAGGTTTGCAAAAGGATCTGTATGTTGTAAGAAATGTCCGAACAAAATTGGGATCTAAGAAGAAAAAGGAAAAATATCTTATTAAACTCTCTGATTCAAAATGATTAAAACTATTATTTACATTTTCAAAATAGATCAAATAGTCAAGTTTAAAAGTTCCAAAATGTTTTGACAAACAGACTGGGCTTGGTAATGCACTGCTAGCTTAGTGCCTCCTAAATTAGTGGTGAAAACATTGATATTAAAACTTTACATCAACTTATTTCTTGCCCTCTGCACACTGACAAGATGATCTTAAACTCATCGGCCATAGGAATGAGCAAGAAAGAAAAGCAAAGGTAAAGCAGGGAACCAGGCTTCCCTCCCACCTGCTACCAGGATCTCAAAGCATCACCAGTTGGTTTATCTCCCTTATAAAGAGAAAGGCCACAGCAGTAACCCATTACTTTTCCTTTCATCAAGATTAGTTTATCTAGGATTACTTGTCTAGCTTTCTTTAAATCATGTTAACAGAGCATACAACTGGAAACTGGAATTTATAAAGTAGTAGCTTAAGTTAAATACAGTTTTTAAATTATTTGCTAAAAATCTCACAACTGCTTAAAGATGCTTACAAATACTTATAAGCTATTAAAACTATTAAATGTGATAGAATATGTTGGTTTGGTCCTATTCCAACCTTTAATTGCCTTTATTTCAAGTAGTCACACTGAGAGGTCAATCATAAATACAGGAGTCTCCAATCCCTTCCATGAAAGGACCTACTTTGCATTCACATCTCCATGAAGTAAAACAAGAAGCTGAGTGTGATCACTCCCACAGGCCTGGCCTACTCCCATCTCTCCTTAACAGTATTCTCCTAAGTTGTGGAGAAAGGCTGCTGTCACGAGCACAAGAGACTTGGGCTGTTGTCTTGTGCATAAAGAGGGGGAAAGACATCTCCCATAATGGGGGGGAAATCACTCACTTCTATAACTCAAATTTTATTAAGGCCCACATTTAATTGTAAATCTTTTTTTTTTTTTTTTTTTTTAAAGGAGGGGAAAGTTCAGTAACTTGAGTCTTTTATTGGGAGCATTCTTTTCCTATTTGTATTAGGGACTGGTAAACTCCAATAGTAAATTCATAGAGGGTAGCAGATGCCTTTATTTCTGTTAGGCTACATAACATGGGTCAAAGTTTTATAAGAAGCACAATGTCTTTTATTAGCATAGGATTTAGCAAAAGCACAATGTATTTGTTTGGAAAATTTCTATTTAGGCTGATTCTCACTAAGAACCATCCTAGGTTTAGCCTTAAAATAAAATGTTTATAATAACTTTTTCCCCAAAAAGCAAATTCATGGATTTATCATAAAACAGAAATATACTTCCAATCTATTGATATATGTGGTCATCGAGATAATAACTGATTTAAATATCAGACAACCCTGAATTTAAAATAATACTATTTTAAGTTAAAGAAAGATTTACAGGATAAAAATACATTGGTTTTAAATGTCCCCTTCTTTGTTAGCTTTATGCCTTCTGAGGTTAGAGTGGGTTACTGATAAAAGTAATTTAAATACATATAATCCTTTAATAATTTCCTCTCTGTTGGTATTTTATTGTTTGTCTTCAGTTACAGAGTTCCTCAAAAGTTAAAGACTAATGTCTCATCCAGAAGAAAAGATATTAAAACAGAAGGCTGTACAAGATTTTAATACAGAGATTTTTATCGGTTTCATCACAATCTTCCCTTTCAAGAATCTTCTTCCTGTTCTGCAAATCTATTTGTAAGGTGAGGCTACTCAAAACAGCATGTTTAGGAAGCAAAAGCAGTGGCCACTAGAGAGATGCTGAGTTGTCACTGTTGGAGAGAGCCCACACCCGCAGTACAGAGTATTCCAAGCATCCTTGACCTGTGTTCCAAATTTAGGGTACCCTCTCCCTTTTTAAAGGAAAAGTTTATTTCAGTCTAAAAATCTAAAATCAACAGCCACATCCATATTTTCTCAAATGCCATGAAAATCAGGCTAAAAATTTGAGGGACATCAAGGGGAATTTTAAGTTGAAAAACAGAATAAAAGCAAGTTCTAAGTGACTTAAAGTATGTTTTAAGAAAACGGTGGCTATGTTTAAAGGCAAGCTATTTCTAAACAGACTTTTCATCTTCTTAAGCCAAAACTTCTGGCCATTTCAGCACTTTAGTAATTGATTATAATGCTGGGAAAGCCATGATGTGTCTCATTGCCACAGTCAAATGGGATCATACCAATTCTTGGTCTGTTATGTAACATTCTCAAAGAACTTTGACATAACTTATTTCCTATGATTTCTGTGAGGTAAGCAGGGCAGGAAGAGATGGAATTAGACTTATCTACGGTCATACTGTAGAGTGGCAGAGACGGACCCCGAACCTAGATCATGTGATTCCTGATTTAGTGCTCTTTTCTATCATATTGTTTAACCTTCCTGGATTAAAGAAACCCTGAAAGTTTCCACAGCTGTGAGATCTAAATATAAAGAATTAAACCATGAGTTATATAACCACTATAGAAATTTACATGAATGATTAATTCAGAATGTACCTGTACTGCTAATCTTGGTTAAAGGCACCAGAAAGTCACTGAAAAATTAGCAGTCTAATTGTGATTCTGTAACTCTTGATCAGCCTTCTTCTAGATTTTAGGAATTAACAGCTATACCTTCCTGTATACTGTACAGGGGTTCTGCAGCTGGCAGTGAAATAAACACTCCCAGAATCATGACTGTTGTATTAGGTTCTAGAGTTGTTTTTAGCTTGACTGGAATTGAGTAGTTTTGCCAAAAAGATAAAAGCAGCAGAAACTAAAAACAAACCAAGAAAATCTGGCAAAAATTTAAGTACTTTCAAAAAAGATCTTAAAGGCTGCATATAGTCCCAGGCTTGTATTAATTTATATTCTATTTTTAATCTAAAGCAATGAAAAATTGCTAATGAATGAAAAACATATTAAGAAGACAAAATACTTATATCTGAAATTTTACACAGAAAAGCATAAAAATTCCAGATGTTATTTTTATTTCTATTGCATCAGTTTCTCCATTTCAATGACTGTAACTAACCACTGGAGACCTTTATCTTACTGATGATGTAAAGAGCTAAGATAATATAAACAAACACCCATCAATAAGGACAGGTTATATAATTTTGAAAGAAAACAGAGTACCTAGTTCCATTGATTAGGCAATGGGAAAAGCTAAGTATATACTTATATACTTTTATACTGCCATTGTTAGTTGTGGAGCAGCAGTTATCTACCCATATTCTAAAACCATGTTGCAGAGAGAGATGAAAGGTAAACACATGAAAATACAAAAGCCAGTCTGGGTTTGGCTTTAAAACATAAGCAGGAACATATAATCATAGAAAAAAAATTAAAAACAGCCCATTTTTATATTTTCCTTTCTGTTTATCACTTGCTTGTGGAGATAATTCCACAAAGTTCTTTCTCAAACATGACCTCCTGATGGATTTCAATATGGTCAACAACCAAGACTTTTTCTACAGTTTTTCCCCTTCATCATTAGAGATAACATTACTCTGCTACTTGACTCTGAAATCCCTGTGCTAAGGTTTCCACCATGTTCACTAGTTGCTCTGCTTCCCCAAATCAAAAGCGCTAACTCTATATAAATACCTGCCACTCTACCATCACCAACCTGGTTTAGGTCCAGGTTATTTCAAACAGAAGCTGGAGTTATTTTTTTCTGCTGACCTTCTAGCTGTCTCCGTTTTCCTCACTATAAAACCATTCTTCGATATTTTACTGCACAATACTTCAAAATTTTAGGAACTCAAGAGTATACCTACATTAGTGTTCGTTCAGAATATAGATGGGAAGTGATAATCCAATCCTTTTTCCTTATGTGCCTATTTTGATTGACACTTGACACTTTATTTGACAAAGTCAGTGAACTTTGTATTTATTACATAAAGAAGTTATTTATATAAAAGACCACCCTACCCCCAACCACCATAGTAAAACACTGTTATAATCAGGATGTCTGTTCATGTGATAATTCTCCCTTTAATGCAGCCATTTAAAAAGCTACAAGAAACAATAAGCTCCTCAACAAGGACTTATAAACAATCAGTCTTGAATTCCTTAAAAAAGGAAACAGACGCTATGCTGACGCACAAACACTTTTTAAAAAAATCAGAGAGTACAAAAATAGAACAGTGCTGCCCTATAGATAAAAAACTGTTCAAAAGACCTCAGCTTGTATAGGACACAAACTCAAAATAAATCTAATTCAGGTTTTTGAGGCTTTTCCATATGAAAGTATAAAATAGCAGTAAATACTTTTTAAGCAAAAATATCTTCTGGCTTAAGTTTTTTCAATACCATCTTCTGTAAAAGAGAAATTACCATGCAAGGGAAACACCTTTTCGCTCACTTCAATATGCAAAGCTTTTATTTCCCATAAAATGTCAATTCTGAATTATTATCCTTACTTCAGGGTCATCTCATTTTTCTAAAATAGACTACCAAACTGGACACAGCACCACCTATCATTTCTCTACTTATGTTGTTTTAGGTCTCATTAACTAACTTGTACTTTGTTGCCTACAACAACTCTGTAACAGAAGTGAAATTCCTACTCTCAGCTTTTTATTTGTGCATATTGCTTTGTGCTTTCTTACTTAGGATAATAGTCTCTTCATACCATTGCCAGATTTAGAATGATCCATCCAATTGGATAATTTTTCCCCTAGTTTTTGGGACAAATCCCAAAGTTCTGATATAGTTAGCCAATTATGATACAACCAGAAACACTGAATCTGAGAGACAAGTTATAAATTAGATTCCACGTAAGACCCTGTTGCAATCTTTTAAGCAAGTTAACCACTTTCTAATTCACCTAAATTTAAATTTTTCTTTCCACAAAGCTTTCCCTTTACAGAGAAAACTACATCAATAGACTAATGTTTAGGTTTTGTAAAAAAATAAAAAAAGTAACAATGATCAGTATCTATACATAAAAAATCTATGCATTCCAATGGAAGTGTATCTATAGTCAGAGCTTACCTATATCCTATTTCAATAAGAAAAAAAAAATTACTGACAATATCTTCATAGTATACACGTTTGCCCAGAAACGAACAAGCCATTTACATTATTGGCAGTTCAAACCAAGGAAGTTATTTATTTTTTATGAGCTCACATCTGTACCAGATCCTTTTACTTAATTATTAACACATATAATTTAAAAATCACAACATATTCTATTCATGAAAACAATCACCTTATATGAGTCAATGTAACATGGTAGAAAGTATACTCTATTTAGAGTCAAGAAACCTAATTTTTGACTTGTTCTGGAATTAACTGGTAATAGAACTTCTAGCAAATCATATAATCTTCAGGGGCCTTGGGATTTGTCTACAAAGTGAAGGCCTGGACATCTCTCTTAGCACTAGAGATCTATAGCTCCATTTTGTACATTACTGTTAAAATATTTGAGGGATAAAGTTGGCTGACACCACAGTGAAGTCTGAATAAAGTAAGGTTAAACCAGTTTCTCTTCTGTTTTTATGACAATGTCTAACCAAACTATAATAATCTAAAGATGTCTGTAAGTGGTGTCTTATAGTATTCATTAACTTTTCTCATGTATTATATCCAATGTCTTTTATTACAATTCTATATAATAAAATAAAAATGTGTAAGTTAAATGTTAGCTTTGTTTCAGTGTAAGCGACAACCTGTACTGTATGTTCTCCAATAAACATACCTACTAACCAAATCACAAATCCCTTCTTTCTTTGGGGAGGCTGAAGAAAGATGAGAGAAGAAGAGCAGACCAACAATTCTTAAAAACAAATGGTAACTTGATCTGTTACCATTGTAGTGAGGCCTTAAAAGTCCATTTCAGTTTTACAAGTTCATAGATGGTCTATTAAAAACCATTCTGTGTTGCCAGTAATAACTTCAGTAACAGGCCTCACAGAATAGCCCAGATAAGCTAACAGTTAACACTAATTTGTGCGTACTGTAAACCACAACTCACGAAAGCTGCTTGTAGACTTGTTTCACCAGTAATATATTTATGGAATAAATTAAAATATTCAGTTAAGCTTCAAAAGAAGACAGAAAAGAAAAATGTCAAAAAACTTAGCCACAACACTTCCAAAACCAACACTGGCCTTTTATTTCTCAAAAAATTATTCAAAGGAATTTTTTAAAAACTTGCTTTTTTAAGTAAAATAATCTCATCAACTTAAATTTTCAATACACTTAACTTTGGCAAAGTTCTATAAATCTTGAAATTTAAGTGTTTTATATTTATTATAAGTTAAAGCACTCAAAATATTATTGTATACCAAAGCTAAAAATTGATATAGAAAAGAAGTATCAGAAATAACTAACAAACCACCATTACAAAAGTACCATGTCCACCGACTTTAGCTAACATTGTACACATTAAGGGAAGAAGTCTTTCAAGACTACAAAACAAGTATCAGCTTGTTCCAGTTAACTCTGCTTTAAAGTGTCCTCATTTAAAAAATAAAGAAAAAGCACAGTTCTCCAGAAAATAGTTGTCATTCTTCAGCTGCTTATTAATAATCATAAATTAACTTTGTGAAACATAGCAATTTAGAGAAAACTTTTATCACTCAATAAAGTCTTAGAGAAACAATTAAAAATTTTGTAACTTGAAAATGTTTTCCTGCCCAAATATCACTGACTTGTGACAGTAAACACTAGTAGTAAGTCTTACAATGCTCTACAGGAAAAAAAAAAAAAAAAAAAAATTAAAACTCTTTCTTATAAACACAGATAAAAATCTAAAAATTAATTTTACTACAAATGAGTCTAGGAACCCCAAACAAAGGTACTTAGGATGAAATAAAAAGTTTAGAATGCTTATGTTATAAAAATTCGGTAAGTCCTCTAAGGGGACTTAAAAACCAGGAAAATGTGGCAAGAAGGGCAATTTGAACTTTTATAGCCTTAAAAATCCCTTAAGCAGAAAAGAAGTATTTTGTAATCACAAATTTTGGGTAACTGAATAAAACATTTTTACAGTTGTAGTCTAGATCATAAAGAACATAGAGAAGGTTGGTGAAGTGCAACTAAATTGGCAGGTCATACTACTGAAAAATTGTACCTCTCAAAAAACAACTTTGTATGGAAAAAAATGACAATAACCTATTTGTTTTTCATGTAAAATCTAGGCAGCCTGTTTACATTTCCTATGATTTTTTTAATTTTTGGGTCAGTAAAATAAATACAATAACTATAGACATTTCTAGGTGAAAAATTATAATAAAACTAGAATCCCTGGCTTTTGGAATTGCAACATTTAATATTAAATAATCAGGTTGAGGAGTGGAAACTGACAGAAAGCAATGCTGTGTATATTTGTACTACCAGTACAATTTTGTTATATTAAAATTTTTGTTTACTTTATAATCTCAGTAATGGAAAGAGAAGAAAGAAAAAAAGATAAAGGAGTAAAAAACTTTTTAGATCCCAATAATGATGATTTATTACTAACTTTAGTCTTGTTTCTTCTCTTTCTAACTGGATAAATTTAGCCAAGTGACCTCATTTTCTCATCTATAACTGATGGTAAGGTTAAAAAAAAAGTATGTAAGTATAGTAGAAAAAGTAAAACATTCCAAAGAAATACAAACTGGTGGTATTTTTAGTCAAAGAAAAGAGGTCTTTGGTTGTTAGTTTCTTTTCTATTTTAGGAACAATAACCCACGCAGGAAAGAAAATCAGTTTGAAGCAGGAAAACAAAAGTGACAAGCAACTTCGTATTTCTTACCTGCGTACATATGGTACGTAAGCCTCTCTATAAGTTTAATAACAGTTCCTGCTTTGATAATTGGAATTCCAGCCTTGGGCTGCATGTTCTCTTCAAATATAATATTCTCTTCAGAGTCAGGCTCGGCAAATCTATAAACATCAGCACTAGGCAGCCTCATCTGCTCCTCTTTCTCTTCCTGTAGCATTGTTACATCAAGCATCCTTTCCAGTGTACTCCGGTACTGTAAAGATATCAATGCTGCCATCCAATTGTTTTTCTCTTCAGCTGACTTGGCAGAAAATATAACACTATTTTCATCTTTTAAAATTATTTCAAAAGCATGCTTGTATTCATTGGTGTCATCTTTATCATTAATTTGTACCTTTCGCATAAAAAACTTTTCTTTAAGACGATATTCTGCATTGCTAGCACCAGGAAGTCTTGGCTGCCCATGATTTGATTTACAGCAAATCATTAAGCCATCAAAGAGAAATATGTGTCTCTCATGTTTGGCTCCTACACGTGTAAGAGTTCCTTCCATTATAAATTCATTGCAACACTGTCCAATGTCTTTTCCCTCCCAACCATCAATATTCTTCTGAATCTCATTCATTTTCTTGATTGCTAGTTGTTTCCCCTTCATTTGTTGACTATAAAACCGACATGCAGATTCACTAGAATAAAGAAAAAGGCATTATTAATACACAGATGACAGAAAACCTAGAGTTCACGTAAATAAGGGAAAGTGTAAAAGTTAGATTTTTACAAGTCTCACTGAGAAGGTATTCACTAATTCCCCAAATAGATTAGTATTACACAATTATACAATTTTGAAAATTAAAGCAACCTAGAAATTTTTTCAGTGTTCTAAAAAGTACAATGATTGTTGACAAAATTCTACTCTATAAATGTAACTACAAAATGAATATTTCTATCTTGGCTAGTAAATATTTAGAATGACAAAAAGTAGCCCAAGACAGTAAAAAAAAAGTAATTTGAAAGATTAAAATAAATTATTTAGAAGGGTTTAAATGGACAAGACCCAAAGCTAAAAACATGTAGCATATATTATAATTAGGAAAGTGGAAGCAATGTTATCTGAATTAATGCCTCAAGTTATATAATCCCTAAAATAAAGGACACTAATAATTTTACTCTGACAGAACAACGATGCCAACATAAATCTACCCGATACATTTTACTCTGTCTCTCCTTTAGCTTACCAGTTGACTCTCAGGAGGTCCTGTCTGGGAGTATGCAAGGAAAATGCACAAATATGAAAGGTTTTTCAAACAATAACAGTTCTCTTGGCTTTGATGTCACTTCCTCTGAAAGACCAGGCTTGTCACTACAACTATTTTCTTCATTGTTTACTTGAGGAGGGAACTGGGATCCCTGAATTTACACCACAATATTCAGGGTAAAAAGGAGGATATTTTAAAACGTAAAAATATTCACCTCAATCTTCGTTTTGCAAGACTTTTAGAACATATTTTTTCCATACCACTCTGAACATTAAGCAAAGCTGTTATTGCTTGTTTTAAACATTCCTTGTCTTCTTGATCTTCACTTTTTTCTTCTAACTGCTGTAAAGCCAAAATGACAAATCTGAACCAGTAGTACACTTTCGGATAGAATAATAATAAGCTCATTTAAGGATAAAAATAACATTTATTCAACTGTCACCACAATAAAAATTCTAAATGTGTCATTAAATATTCTTTTTAAAAGTGTTTTTCTTGTGTGTTACTATTAATACACAACCAAGTTTTCTACATTAAAAGACCAAGATGAGCAGTTTTAAGATGGGTTACATCTTGCGACAGGCAGTAATATGTAGTTTCTCAAGGTGCATACCACTGAAAAGAAATGGGGAGCATAACTGATCTATTGAATGATCACAGGAGTTAGCACAGCACTAAGCATGTAGAGGAGGTTTTTTTTTTTTAAGTGTGGAATTTTGTCTTAGGTTTCTGATCCCTATATTACTGTTATATAATATTGAGATGATAAGGAAGATAAATATACAGAGAAGGATGCAATATAATAGAAGGAATATCAATTACAAAACCTAGGATCAAATTTTGACTCTACTGCTGTTGACCTTGGGGCAAGAGACTTGATCTCTGCGCCTTACTTTTCCCATCTGCCAAATAAGGCTTATAAAAAGCCTACCCTGCCTACTTTTAGGGGTTGTTATTAAAAACCAAAGCACTTTGTAAATGGTAACACACAATGTAAGTGTAAATGGTTTTCTTTGTAATTACACTACAGAATTAACATTAGTATAATAAAGAACTTTGTTCATATCCACATTAAGATTTTGAGTAAAGCTGCAATATACATATTTATGAAACTCAAGCATATTTTCTATTACTAGCAAATATCTATGTCAGACAAAGTCTGTACTTAACAAGAACTTAGTCATCAATAACTAATTATCAATACAGTAAGGTGGCTATGATTCAAGCAAGCAATTAACAGATGTATGAGTGACAATAATTCAGTAACTGAAATCTTCTAAACCTGTTCCTGGTTACCAAAAGGAAAAGTTAAGAAATCACATATTGGCTGGCTGCAATGGCCTATGCCTATAATCCCAGCACTTGGGAGGCCCAGGTGGGAGGATCGCTTGAGCCTAGGAGTTTGAGATACCATCTATTAAAATAAAATAAAATAAAATAAAATAAAATAAAATAAAATAAAATAAAATCCATCTAAATAAACCATCCATCCATCCGCTCCATCCATCAAACAAATAAATAACATTTAAATAAAATAAAATAAAATAAAATAAAATAAAATAAAATAAAATAAAACAAAATAAAATAACATTTTATCAATAGAGTTTTCATCCAACAATTTAGGAATACCTACTCTCTACCATAAACGAAAAGACTTGAGATATACAATCATAAAATATTCAAAGTGATTTATAAAGAAGTTTATTTTTCTTTTAGATGGAGTCTCTGTACCCCAGGCTAGAATGCAGTGGTGCATTCTCAGCTAACTGCAACCTCTGCCTTCTAGCTTCAAGCAATTCTCCTGCCTCAGCCTCCCAAGTAGCTGCGATTACAGGTGTCTGTCACCATGCCTGACTAATTTTTTTTTTTTACTCTTAGTACAGATGGGTTTTCACCGTGTTAGCCAGGCTAGTCTCAAACTCCTGACCTCAAGTGATCTGCCTGCCTTGGCCTCCCAAAGTGCTGGGATTACAGGCGTGGGCCACCACGCCTAGCTAGAAGTTTACTTTTCAATTAGCTTCATTATTCATTAGTACATTAGTACTTTATGGATTTTATGTTTTTCACAGGTATTCCTTAAAGGTCAACAATACATTCCTTTCTGCTTCAATTGGTAAAAATCAGTTACGTGCATGGGCACACACATACCACATGCACTGATGACCTGTGAAAAGTAAACAGATTTCTTATATTCTAAACCATTTCTATTAAAATTTACTTAAAATACTTTAATGTTCAAATATTCCAGAAGTAATAAATACCATATTGTAATGTTTAATACTTAGCTTTTATTATCCAGATTTCTTACATTCATTATTAAAAACTCACCATACTTTCTACTAGAGGCATAATCTACATTTTTAGGAAAATTTTCAGTTTTAACTATGTTAAGTAAAAGAACAATTTAGGCTGGGCACAGTGGTTCATGCCTGTAATCCCAGCACTTTGGGAGGCTGAGGTAGGGGGATCACGAGGTCAGGAGTTTGAGACCAGCCTGGCCAATATGGTGAAACCCCGTCTCTACTAAAAAATACAAAAATTAGCTGGGTGTGGTGGTGCACACCTGTAGTCCCAGCTACTCGGGAGGCTGAGGCAGAAGAATTGCTTGAACTCAGGGGGCAGAGGTTGCAGTGAGCCGAGTTTGTGCCACTGCACTCCAGCCTGGACAACAGAGCGAGACTCCGTCTCAAAAAAAAAAAAAGAAAAATTTATTCATAACAATTCTCAACATAAAAAGGTTAATGAAAGATATTTTCCAAAGGATTAGAGACTTTAAAAGTGTACACATTAATCTTTGGGAGGCCGAGACGGGCGGATTACGAGGTCAGGAGATCGAGACCATCCTGGCTAACCCGGTGAAACCCCGTCTCTACTAAAAATACAAAAAACTAGCCGGGCGAGGTGGCGGGCGCCTGTAGTCCCAGCTACTCCGGAGGCTGAGGCAGGAGAATGGCGTAAACCCGGGAGGCGGAGCTTGCAGTGAGCTGAGATCCGGCCACTGCAGTCCAGCCCGGGATGCAGAGCAAGACTCCGTCTCAAAAAAAAAAAAAAAAAAAAAAAAAAAGTGTACACATTAATAAAAAACTCAAATATCTTTTATTCACAGTATGGTTCTTCGATATGGCCAGCTAAAGAAAGCCAATGGCCAGGTGTTCATTAAGAAAGATACTAGGTTATTACTTAACAGATATTACTGGGAGGCTGAAGGCTAGAATCCAGGTAATCTCTCAAAGTACCTTCCGTCCCTATCATTTGAAACTATTTGCCTCTCACATAGCAGAATTCTAGGAGACAAATAAAATGTTACCATGAACATTATCAAGTTTAGTCTTTAAAGCAGCAGATAATCTAACATTGAAAGCTATATACCAGGGGTATCCAATATTTTGGCTTCCCTGGGCCAAAGTGGAAGAAGAATTATCTACACATAAAATATACTAACACTAACCAGAGCTGATGAGCTTTTAAAAATTTGCAAAAAAAAATCTCATAATGTTTTAAGAAAGTTGACGAATTTGTGTTGGGCGGGGGGTTAGACAAGCTTGCTGTATACCTTAAGAAAAGGCAAAATTAATGAAAGCACCACTGAACAATGAATTAGTTCATTGAGTTGATTTAGAATTTAATCACTCAAAAGTAAAGCCCAGAGAAATTCAAGTCAGTAAGATACAAGGCAATTTTTCAGTCTTAAAGAACTAACAGGTAGCAGAATATTGAGCATTTGATATTTTGTCCTGGATAAATTTTTTATATTTTTAATTCAGGAAAACATACCTAATGGTAGACAAAATATATAATTCTCATACATATAAAGATATTTATAAAAGAAAAAAATCCATTTGGACATCCTTTTGATTTTCTATTCTAAAAATGTTTCAAGTTTTGGAGTCATTTATCTACTATTTAACTGTAGGATTTTACATACACAATATTCTGGTATCTCAAAAATGTTAATATTTTTCAACCCATAAAACTTTCCTGATGAAATACTTTCAAAATGTCAGTTTTACCTTTATAGTATTAGCCAAGCTTCTGAAATAAATTTCAGTGTAATAAATGACCTTTCTTGTAAGCATTTTTTGCTTCTTTTACTCAAAATGGCTAATTTAAACTGGGCACTGGTGCAAAATAATTCAAGCTAACTACATCAAAAGGGTGGCTTATTGTGGCTACAGAAACAAAGCAGTGGCAAGTAGTATGTAAATGAGACTCAACAAAGCAGCATCCTGTTACCAGTGATATTCAATACCATGCTTTTCATGAGTGCCTATTTAATAATAATGTGCAATAGTAACAATTACATTTGTACAAAGGCAGTTTATTTCAATAGTTTAAAAAATTACTAAGTCCTGAGATTATATTACCATATGAGATTGTACTTAAAGTCATCTAGGGATTCATATATATACATATATGTATGTGCATATGTATGTATATATGTATATATGTATATGTGTATATATGTATATGTGTGTGTATATATACGTGTGTGTGTATATATACGCGTGTGTGTGTGTGTATATATATATCTTTTCGTTTTGAGATGGAGTCTTATTCTGTCTCCCAGGCTGGAGTGCAGTGGCATGATCTTAGCTCACTGCAACCTCCGCACCTCCCGGGTTCAAGCGATTCTCCTACATCAGCCTCCAGAGTAGCTGGGATTACAGGTGCATGTCACCACACCCAGAAAATTTTTGTATTTTTAGTAGAGACGGGGTTTTGCCATGTTGGCCAGGCTGGTCTCGAACTCCTGACCTCAGGTGATCTACCAGTCTTGGCGTCCCACAGTGCTGGGATTACAGGCATCAGCCACTATGCCCAGCCAGGAATCATATTTTAAAGCAGAATGAAAACTCATATGCTCTATTGAGATGATAAAATTTAACTTTTCACAAGAAAGAAACCATTTTACCAGTGACTAATTTTTTTGGTCCCTTAGAAATAAGTAAAGAGGCAATAGTCAATATGGTGTGTGCCATGTGCAAAAGAAACCCTGGGAGAAAAATGGGATTAAATGTAAGGAGCTGTGAAAAGAAAATACTAAAATGAATACAAAGAATATAGCAGTATTCAGGAGAATAAAACTCAAGATTGTTTGATATATAAAAAATAAATTGTTGTACCGAATGCATTTTATATGCTCAATTCATTCACAATCATATAATGGCTTCCCTTTGATTAAAAAAAGGAATGCTTGAATTTGTTTTTATTTCTTGGAATTAATTTTCTCCAACATGGCATTATATACAATGAAGGAACTACCATTTACTTGAAGGCATTAACAGGCAGGTCCAGGACCCACAATTCTTGACTTTCAGTCCCGTGACTTTTCACTATAAATA